TGCGGTCGGCTGGCAGGTGATGGCTTTTGCAAAGAGAATGAAACGGGAAAAACGTGGAAATTAAGCGAGTCGCGAGCTGAGCTTAATAAGCCCTCGCCAGCTGGTACAGGAATGATTGGCGCATCTTGCGGATTTGTATAAATTGAAAAAAATTTTAATTGATTGACAGCAAAACTTAATTTGTGTCGAACCTAAAGATTGACAAAGTGTACGAATATAAACTTCACATATTGTACTTTATCTAAGACTAAGACTAATAAAAACAGATGTTTTATGTGTTCTCTGTTTTCTGATTTGATGTTCGGATAAAACTGAGCTATGAATAAATATTTAGATATGTATTCAAATATGTGTGTAGTCTAAAGAGTTACAGCACACAGAAATATTGTAATGTAAACTTACAAAGTATTCCCTCCAATGTGTGTCTAGTAAAACAGCATAGATTAATTACCACAATTCTGGCGTTAGATTGAAGGTTTTTCAGACTTCATCCTAGCTGTGCTGCAAACGAAAGCAAAATGCAATTAAACTCGTAACTAGCTCAATTCTGGATAACTTTGTCAGCCTGCGGCTCTCTAATCGCATGATGTATGCAACGCACGGCTGCTTTTAACTGTCACAATTTCTAGAAAAATGCAGCCAGATGTTCTTTTACAGAATGGCAATGGAAATCGTTTTTGCAAACATTCAAATATGATTTTTGCTAGCAGGAGCTGAGAGCACGGCTGAGAACATGGAACATGTTGTGCAATATTCGACAAGTAACAATATATGTTATATGTGTGCATAGATAAAAGTAAATTTATGTGCATACATATCTCAGGAGGGATAATAAAATACCAGTTGATTCATGTGTGCAAAGCTGTTTGATATTGGTTTCAACTGGTCCTGCCATGGCTCAAAGCTGAAGTTATAAAGCTATTATATAGATATTTTTATTTATATCGTTTACTTTTAATTTACATTTTATTTAAACCTGATTGAAGCCGTCTCTGACCCTGTAAAGTATATTTATTTCTCAAACAACATTAATCCGGATTGTACGCATATATGATTGCGTAAATTTGTAACGTAGGTCCTAATATTATTCTTTGTTTTCATGACATCAAGTTAAATTTACATCGATATCTTATTTGTTAACAAATCTTAGAGCTTAGGAGCTCTCGTATACTATAAGTCTCCCCCGTTCCCCCCAAAAGTTGTAGAAAACTAATGTTTTCTGGTATAGCGTTGGACTTTGGTATTAACAAACGTTTGGATTTTTTAAATTTTTTAATTTTATTCTGTGTTTAGTTAAATCTATTTTCCTAAGTTAAATCTATTTTCTATGGACACCTTGGCCAGACTGATCAACTTTTTGGGTTAAAAGTTATATTCTTTACTCGCAAAACACGAGGAATGAAAACTTTTTCATAATAGCCTCCGCTAGAGTATAATGAATAATAAGCAATTTAATATTTTGAATGAATCAACAAATTGATTAACTTTTCTGTCTGTCCGCTTTTTATGTATCTTTTTGCTGCTTATTGAAAGCGTTTTATGCTCGCTTGTTAAACACTTTAATTGTGTTAAATAGCACCTGTTGCAGCATGTCCTCGGCATTGTCGCGATGTAGCAGCGAGCTCTACAATTAAGAGCCATTTACTTAGCGCACTCCCTGAACGGCTTAGCCCGACTTTGGGTTGGTGACGTGCAGTCAGCCACTGGCAGCCGCTGCTCTCTATTATGAGCCGGGCCATAAAGCATCCAGAGGCAGCGGAAAGCCATTTCTATTTGCTCGCTGCCGTTGAGGGATTTGCTGGATGTGGATGCGAATGTGGCGGCGGATGCGGATGCGGATAATGCTTTCAACAGAAACAGAAAGCAAATTGCATGCAGACGAAGCGAATGACGCCGTTGCCATTGATGGGTATGTGGATAAGGACGAGAACGAGGTCGACTCCCATTCATTCAATAAAGTAAATGGCAGCGTGCCATAAAAGCAGTCATATATGGTGTTTTCTAAGTGAAGATTAGTGCAACTTAACCTGGCTGTGAAATTGAAAAGTCTGATGAAAGCTTTTCATTTGCCAGCCCCATCATCTTCATTAAGTGCAATATGCAAGTCATATTGAAAAGTGGGGCCAGTCCCACATTCCGCCTGCGTCTGCCCCTGCCCATGGTCTTCTGTGTGTTTGCCTTGATAAGTGACAGATCATTTCATTTCTCATAGCCGGCAATACAAACAAAACAACGCCGACGACAATATGCTCTTAAAATATTTGCTCGTTCAATGACATTGAAATTTGAATTTGCATGTGTGTGTGTCTGTCTCTTGCTTTTCATCTACAATGTTGACGTCGTCAACTGACGTTTCGCCTGGCCGAATTTTGGCAACGCCCAACAGCAGCCTCTTCGATCTCTTTTCGCTCGTTCGTCCCATTTGAATTGAAATTTATATGCTTTATAAATTCATGGGCTTGTCAGCCTTGTTCCTGTGTCGGTGTGTGTTTGCTATTTTCGCTATTTTAAGCTGCATGCATTGTCTTTTTTTCTGGTGCTCTATAAAAATGATGAAATATTTCATATTTTCGGCTCTCTACACAGAACTCGTGTGCTATATGTGTGTGTTCCGCTTGTTGCTATTCTCATTGCATAATTGCACAAATTGATTACATTTGGGGGCCGGCTCAAGCATTTCCTTTCATTTCCGTCCCACTAAATGAGTTCCCAACTGCCCTCCGCTCTCTCCCCTGCCCGCCCATCCGCTCTGCAACGGAAAGGTCAGTGAAACGTGCGCCGCTGGGCGACTGTGTCGCCCATCTAATGACCGCCAACTGTGCCGCACAGTTGAGCACAATTTGGCTGCAGCCCTACGGCCAAAATACAATCGAGGGAATATATAGAGCAGCCAGCCCATATAAGAGGCACATATGCTGCCAATAGCCCAAAGTGTGTGAGAGCTTGTGTGTGTTCGTTGTGTGTGTGTTTATGAGAAGCGTCTCGCTGCGTCCATTTGTCTACGGCTGTTGGGATCATTTTGAGTGTTTGGTGCCCTCTTGTTGATGGATCGACTGCTGTTTGATGCTGTTGGGCCTCGATTGTACTTGACTGTTTGCTGCTGGCTGATAGCTTCTGGCTGTTGCTATGCAGAAATACACAAAGACCCGAATAGTTAATTATAGCAATGCGTTCTAGAACCAATTGTCATTGGTTACTCGAGAGCGGCTCTAAATTCCCAAATATTCAACATTATCGTTAACTATTTTATCTTGCAAAAGGAATTCGATAAGTCCAAGCTCTACGAGCAGGAATCCTTAAGAACGCACTTTAATTTGACTTCGTCCTGAACATTTATTCTATTATATTACAATTTGTAAAAAGAAATCGGTAAAGCTAAAATACTCATTTATGACAAATGAAAAAGATTAAAATCAGAAAATGAAATATTTTATAAAAATTTGCATGATTTATTTTAGTTATTTTCGTTTTCAATGTTATATCTCATAAACATTCAAAGCAACAGAAAAATGTACTAATTTTTTTGTATTTTTAAACATTTAATGTTTAAATTGCATGCAAATCACAACAAAGTCAACAAATGTATTTATGAAAAAAACGTTTTATTTACAAATGTGCTTTCGCACACAGTTGTGTGTGTTCAAATATATTTTTAATTAAATTGCAGTCGGTAAACATTTAATCCGAAGCCAGCCCCGCAGGTGGGTGTTGGCAAGGGAGAGTGTGTACAATGCATCAAGCCATTTGAGTCCACACGTCATTCAATGCACATTTGCACAAATTTTTTTTGTATTCAATGGAGTATTGGGCGTCGCTCACTCACAAGGACTGGCCACTTCCGCGCAAAAAACCAGGTTCATTGTTCTGCTCTCTGCAATTCGAACATGTCCTGCTCGACTGGCAACTGTCCTGCTGTCGCTATTGTGTGGCGTAGAAGTAGTAGCCAAGCAGAGAGGTCCCACGAGTCGTATTAGTTACATCGAGTTATTATTCCCTGCATATACATATACGTATGTATATTGATGTGACTGTGTGTGTGTGTGTGTGCCGTGCTGTCTTGTGTGCAACTGGGTCAACGTAAACGTCGCGTCGCATCGCATTGTCAAAGGATTGCGCGCCCACCTGCCTGTTTACACTGCGGTGACCTTTTGTGCGAGGCAGGCTCCTGTGGCTTTTTGTGGGTGTGTTTCGCATAGACAAACAGCCACACACACAACCACTCACACTTGTTTGTGTATGTAAATGCTGACACCTACATAAACACACACACACACACACACATACATATATATAAAGATGTGTGTATATGAAAACTCCGGCTTTTGCGTGCGCATTTCCGCCTGGCAGTTGAAAATGTATTCGATCAACAAGTTTCTTTTGTCATTTTACGCTTCGTCTCGCTTTATCGATGTGGCGTGGCCACAGCAATAACAAAAGGGCAGAGCGAATAAGCCTATGTTAAATGAATTGAATAGAATCTGAACCAAATACCATATACATACCTCAACCCATGATTAAGCAGTGAAACCATTTATAAGCCCATGTGCTGAATAAGTCCGATTGTAGTTACAATCAAAAGAGAACATTGCAAATTTCAAAGTCTTTTGTTATCTCCCTGCACATGCGAAAAAATAGTTAAAAGGGAAGGGTTGGAGTCATATTAAGGGATAGAATCGTATATGTAAGCAAAGCTAAATGCTTTTGCATTAAATTGGCATAAAAACGAATAAGAAGAGTAGAAAAAAGGAAATGCGGAGTACAGGGTATCTCCTAGTCGAGCATTCTCGGCCGTGCAGTTTTTTGCGCAGCATTTGCCGCTCTCATTAAATATTTATAGATATTTTATAAATAATCATATATGGATATTAGGGACGTCCTTTAACGCAATTCATGCGTAAGCAATGCTTGCCAGGGAGGGTCAAAACAGAACTTGAATAATCGATAAAGCTGTTCGACGAAGATAACAATTATTGATGTATTGTTATTATATTTAATTGCAGATATACCCGACATTCCCGATGACATTAAGCATCTGCAGAGCCTGCAGGTGGCCGACTTCAGCTCGAATCCGATACCGAAACTGCCGTCGGGCTTTTCGCAGCTGAAGAACTTGACCGTGCTGGGCCTAAACGATATGTCGCTTACCACATTGCCCGCCGATTTTGGCAGTTTGACGCAGCTCGAGTCACTGGAGCTGCGCGAGAATCTGCTCAAGCATTTACCCGAAACGATAAGTCAGCTCACGAAGCTGAAGCGCCTGGATTTGGGCGACAACGAAATCGAGGATTTGCCACCATATCTGGGCTATTTGCCGGGCCTGCACGAGCTCTGGCTGGATCACAATCAGCTGCAGCGACTGCCCCCAGAGCTGGGCCTGTTGACCAAGCTAACCTATCTGGATGTGTCCGAAAATCGACTCGAGGAGCTGCCCAATGAGATTGGCGGCCTGGTTAGCCTCACCGATCTGGATCTGGCACAGAATCTGCTCGAGACTCTGCCCGATGGCATTGCCAAACTGAGCCGACTGACCATACTGAAACTGGACCAGAATCGCTTGCAGCGTCTGAACGATACGCTCGGCAAGTAAGTATAGCAAACGCATTCTGCGACGGGCTAGAAACTTATCTAAACTCTTGCAGCTGCGACAACATGCAGGAGCTTATATTGACGGAGAACTTCCTGTCCGAGCTGCCCGCTTCGATTGGCAGCATGAGCAAGCTGAGCAACCTGAATGTGGATCGCAATGCCTTGGAGTATTTGCCAATAGAGATTGGCCAGTGCAGCAATCTGGGCGTGCTCAGTCTGCGCGACAACAAGCTGAAGAAGCTGCCGCCCGAGCTGGGCAACTGCACGGTGCTGCATGTGCTCGATGTGAGCGGCAACCAGCTGCTCTATTTGCCCTATTCGCTGGTCAATCTGCAGCTGAAGGCGGTCTGGCTCTCAGAGAATCAATCCCAGCCGCTGCTCACCTTCCAGCCGGACACGGACGCTGAGACGGGCGAGCAGGTGCTCTCCTGCTACCTGTTGCCCCAGCAGGAATATCAGCCCATTGCGCCAGGTAAGTTTCTGGCAACTCGTAAATAGTAACTGGTAACTGGCAACTGATGACTGGAGCTTGAGATCGTGATTCGGCTGGCTGCTCATTGCTTTAGTCATGGGTCGAACATTTCAACATTGGCCAATAAATGTATAAGGCTGCTTATCTGTAGCTGGCATTCTTTCCACGGGCCATATCGTGGTGCAATATCTGCGCAATCTATGCTTGCGATAAGATAAGAGCCCGCAACACTTGTTTGATTGTCCCAACAAGAGCAATGAGCAACACTTGAGTCAACCGCTCTGAATATCCAGTAGAACAGGCTTTTCCAAATTCTACAATTTTATCATTATTTATTACTTTTTGTTATTTTTTTTGTAACCAAAAGTCTTTAACGTTATTTGGCTTTAAATTTCTTCACGCACTAAGCACCTTTTCCTTGATGTATTTCAAATATTTATATACCTATTTGTTTTTCTACGATTCCGTTTACTTTTTTTTATCCGCATTCACACCATGCGCTCTCTGTACTATACTGCACCTTCACTCAAATATCATAAAACAAAAAAAAAACACCAAAAGATTATCCACCCCAGACGCTTTATAGATCAAGCGAAAAGTTCGATTCGATGGATTTCTTCAGTTATCAACAGAAAGGTTTGCGTTGTCTGTTAATACTACTACAATAACAAAACGCTATTCATATAAAAAAAACCCCTTTAGATATAGTTGTCACTCAGAGCTATAAAGTAGAGTTGTGTTTCTTGCATGGGGCTAGGTTAAAATAATTTGTTTAGTATTTTATGTAACTATTTTCGACTTCTGTGTATTAATTGTGATAATTTACTTTTTATTTGTAAAAAAAAGGCGCTCTCTGAAATTTAAAATTACAATTTAAAACTCAGGAGAACCGATTTTAATTTGTTTTTAACTTTAAATTCTATTAAAACAAATTAAAATCAAAACAAAAGAAACTTTTAAGAATTTAATTCTTTCATATCGCGCTTGATGAAAATTAGATTTGTTTTCTGTAGATTTGGGGCTCCTAAAAACAAAATCGATTTTTCAATCAAAAATTTATTAAAAACTTTTTAAAATTTGGAATCGTTTTTGGCTATATTCATCATAAGTATTTTATCCATAGATCTAGAAGCAATAGCTTAATGTGGATAAATAAATCACATAGTAATCCGTCTAGCGGATATTCATTTAAATTGCTTAAATTTTTAAAAGACAAATTGTTAAAAAATTTTAAATTTGTCCAGATTTATCTTGTAACTAAATGATTATTTCCTTAACTATTCATCGAAATACCTTTTTAAAATTTGTAAACATTTTTTTTGTAGTAACCTAGCTTAGTAAAAATTTTTGAAGGTCATTTTGCTATTAGGGCTTAAATAAATATATTGAATACAAATATCGGTTTCTTCAAAAAAAAAAATATGAATGCAAGAAATTTGTTTGTATCTTTTTGTAAAAAAGTCGACATATACGAACTAAGATTGTTTGTAGTGTTGTTTATGTATTTAAAACTTAAAAGCATATAAAGCCGATTGTAATTCCTCTAAGTTATACATACCTTGAACACAACTCTACTAAATAGTGCGCTTCTTATAATCCATAAGCTATGCATGCTCTCACCTTATGCCTATTACCTTGAAAACTTGAAGCTTTGGCTTTGAGAACGCATTCCTCTAAGCTTTTGCCTCAAACTGAGACCAGGTCTTTGGTCAATGTTGTTTCTGTTAGAATGTTTGTATTTCGAAGTCTTTTGTTGTTTAGAGAAAACCAGTTTAGTGGCATTAAATGACGTCATATAAATCAGATAACAACACAATGTATGTGGAAGTCGGGCCGGGCCCGACTGCGAGCTGTAGCGCAGTGTTTTTGGGTGTACACCACACCCAACGGCAACAGTCGGAATGTGCGTGTGTTTGATTTGTTGTTTGATTTGATATTATTTGCTGTTTATGTTCCATTCATTTGACAGCCAGTCCGGAATCTGTTTTGCCTTGCCCTGTGTGCGTGTTTCCCATCACAGATCCCGTCGCTCAACACTTGAGACTCGAACGTTGGGTGCCTGGTTAATGCTACTGATTCTCGGCTCTGTTTCCCGATTCGGATTCCGATTCTGTTATTAAACAGCTGCCTGCTGTCAGTGGCAGCAGGCCAGATCAAAGCGTATTCCCTGCCGCACAGGCGCCTTCTTTGTTCCGACACTCATCCATTTGGCGGGGGGTGCTTCTCCGAGTGATGTCAACGTTAATGACGTCATGATCTGGCCTGAATGTAGACCAAGATCGACGGGCAGTCGTTAATGTATTCACGAGCAATCGTATGTATAACGCCGATACTTAATAATATTAATCGTCTTCTAAGAGCGCGCGCGACTCTAGACATTGTGTGTACGCCATTGATTAATGGCCTGTCAGACAGCTAGGCGAATAGTACAGTGAAGCGTGCTGTTTGACGAACGCACTGCCTGAAAACTTCAGCTTATGCATTACAACTAGAACCCTATACCAGGCTCCGATAATGTATAAGCCTTGCTTGTATTTTCTTGTATTTTTTGAAGCCTTAGTTTTTACTTATTTTTCCCTAATAGATCGCAAGTATATTATGTGTATTATAGTATTGATTATTATGCTAGTTAGTGCTAGTTACTTCGCCATAAATTATATTATTTTTATAAACTGAAACTCAAACATAAAATTGATATTAAAATTCAAAAATTGTGCTCTGCTGCAATCGAATGTAGTTTCAGTCTATAAAAATATGGTTTCACATGAATGCATGTATGTGTTGTGTCTGGTTTTGCGAGGTTTCACTGTAGCATTCACTAGTGTTAACTGGTATTATTCAACTTGTTGTTATTGTGGTTTCCGCTTTGTTGCGTAGTTTTTTTGTCCGAGTTCGCCTCTCGTTAGTTTGACATTCAATATAAATAATATTTTGTAACTGTTTTGAATCGAAAACCAGTTTTGAAGCAAACGCAAATAGCTGCTAAAAATACATTGATAATATCATCAGTTTTTTTTGTTTCTCTATTTCCAACTTGAGCATTATTTTCGTGAGTGCATCAGGCATTTTTCATGCAATTAACACACTTGCGTGAAAATGCGCAAGACCAGGCGGCGGCTCATCAATCGAGCGCCCATATGTATGTGGGTTACGCTTTTGGGGTCCAGAGTGCCATGTGCTGGCACTTAAAACGTTGCTCAAATTATCCAATTAGAGCTGCGACGGTCAAGACACGCAGTGACAATGCGAGGCGGCGCCCCTCGGCCCTATTATTGCCATTACAAGTCTCTTTTATTTACATAAATCTTCATATGAGCAAAGTTGCTCGAAGACCCGCCAAATTTACTCGGGTTAGCGGTAGACACACGCAGCATACCCCGCTGTGTGTTGTTGTTTTGTTTTTTTTTTTGGAAAATATATTATTCCGCGCTGAAAATCCGTAAAAATTGTAAGTTACGAGCTGACATTGGATGCAGCTACTTAAGCCGGGGCCAACTAGTACTTCCGTCATAAACAACGATTTAAATTTGTTTATTGGTCAGCAGCAACCCGAAACCCTACCGCCCCCCGCCCCGCCCCGCCACTACCACCCGGGGCTATGGCATGCAATTGCCAAGCGGGTTGCCCACATCTTGCAATTTTTATATTGTTTACGCTGAGTGGAAATTTATGGCACATATTCACACAAGCGCTTGATGGATTAGAGAGTGCCAGTGGCAGCGGGGCTGGGGCAATGTTTATGCCGCGGCCCCCAAAAAAAATATAGTTGCCTTATTGTTTTAGTTGGTTTTCTTTTGTTGCTGTTGCTGTTGCCGTATTTATTGATCTTACATAGCCAGAGCTACAGGTCGTTAAGCGGCTCGAATGTAAATATTTATAAACTATATCGACAGCTACTAACTGTAAGTGCATGCGCATGCCGTTTGCTAATCTTTCAATTAGTAAAACATCAATTAAATCATATTGTTAATGAACAAAACTTCTCCAATTTTGCCGCAGCACGCGATTTGGAATCTGACTCGGAGCCCTATGAGGAGCGCGAACCGTCACGCACCGTTGTCAAATTCTCGGAGGATGCCAGCCAGGAAAAGGATACGCCATTTGTGCGCCAGAACACGCCGCATCCCAAGGACCTGAAGGCCAAGGCGCAGAAACTCAAAGTGGAGCGCAGTCGACACGAAGAGAATGCCAATTTGGTGGCACTGCCCGAGGAGGTAAATGATACAAGAAGATCAAGTGAACGGGTTCAAGGGTCAAGCTTATGTGTCTACTTCAAATGCCCTTAATTGTTATAGAAAAAAATGTACAATTTCGGGCTTCAGCGGAGGCAGCTAGCTCTTGAATTCATTTCAAAACTTCTGACCTCTTTTTATGGCAATTCAATCAAATTTATTTTATTGGTATTTTATTATTATTAATGTATCTACTTAGCTTCACTTTTCTATTTTTCTTTAATATCTTATTGCATTTATATTCTGATTACAATAGAGTATAGGATTTATAGCATATATAAGGTATTATAAGCCCACATTAATAGTATTATTGGTATTATTGGTTCAATTCAGATTAAGTTATTATGCTTTTAAAATAACCACAGTATTATATCTATAAGTACGTTATATTCTCTTTTTAGTTACATATATGCTTTATTTTCTGCAGTCTATTAAATTTTCACGCAATTCTATAACTTTTCTCTGCTTTTTTTATATACCTATCTTATCCTAAATTTATTTTATGCAATTTTATTTTTTTAACAGAACGGCACCAAATCAGTCGTGACAGAAACCCCCGCCGAGGCACGCACCGTGGCCAATAGTCACCAACAGATAGTCGTGACGGCCACCAATAGCGCTACCACTGCGCAGCCAGTACAGAAACCTGCCACCGTGGTGAATTCCAAACCTGTAACGGTTGGTGTCATAACACCAACACCAACTGCAGCAGCGCCACAAACCGCACAGGGTGCCTCAGCAGCAGCGACGGCCAGAACCAACAGCGACAATACAACAGCAACAGTTGCTCAGGCGGCTGACGCTGCGGAACAGGAAGACGAATATGTAAGTAAATTTTTAAATGAATTATTAATAGAATACATTTTGAATAACAATTTTGACTGATGTTGCAGGAGACCGATCGCCGCGTGGGCTTCCAGGTGGAGGGTGAGGACGATGACTTTTACAAACGACCGCCCAAGCTGCACAGACGGTAAGTTTGATTAGCTAATGCATTGCGGAACGTGTTTTAAATCCAGTTATTTGCACCCTTAGCGATACGCCCCATCATTTGAAGAACAAGCGTGTGCAGCATTTGACCGATAAACAGGCCAACGAAATCTTGGCCAATGCTCTGGCCTCACAGGAGCGCGACTCGCCAGAGCCGCAGCAGTCGGTGGCCAAGGTGCAGTCGCCCATTGAGGAGAATGCCGATGCCGAGCTGCTCGAACAGCAGCAGGAACAACAGGAGCAGCTGCAGCAACAACAGCAACCATTTGACGCCTCGCTCTCCCCAATCCCAGCTCCAAAGGCTGAGCCAGCGACCACCGCAGCAGGTAATTTATGCAAAATCAGCTCTTCAGAGCTTTAACTATTTCAAAACGTTCTCTTAACTGCTCACAATGCGAAAGAGGGATGAGTTTCAGGGGACCTGCCCCTACGACCCACACATAATCAATAACCAATCGATACGGGTGTCTTGCAAAATATTGCAGCGTGTCTTACATTATGCATATGTGAAAGCCACCTTTAGCAGACACCCAGCGTCGCGTTGTCCGTTTATGGGAATTGTCTGGTTAAGGGAATGCAAATGAAAAGGGGCGTTCTCTGTTAAAATGGGTCTATTTACAGGACTACCAGCAAGTCGTTGCCTGACGGGCCATTGAGAAATTAATGCATAAAGTAACAAATCTTTTTTTAAGTGCATGCAAAGCTTTCAAAAAAGATAGTTTATCATTCGAATATAACGATCATAATTAGTTCCATTCATTACTTATTTTTACATTTCATTACATTGCACTAATACGAAGCAAATGCGTGATTATAATGAGAAAACTTTGACTTTAAAAGAAATGCTGCTAAAAATATAGATTACCCAAAAACAGAGTGCAAGCAAAAAACAAATATTTAGTAAGATTTGAAATTCAAAAAAAAAATATAATTGTATACAGTGTACTATGTACAGTGAAAACTGCCGTAACGAACATTACTATTAGGCTGACTTCCCTCTTGGGCGGACATATTCCTCCATTTCCCCACTGTCGCTGTCCGCCCAAGAGAGTTTTTACTGTATGTGTGCTGTCATATTATATGAGCAATCCATAAAATAGCTTATCATAAATGTCTGTCAATACTTAAAGTGTTTAAGGGTCTTTCACTGTAAGTTGATAAATATTATCTTTGTCGCTTGTATCTCAGAATCGAAGCACAAGGATATTATAACGTTGAATGTGAAAGACGGAAAGTAAAATGTTCGATTCCGCAAAGAGAACATATTCTCTCTTTTCTCCCTATTCATATTAATTGATCTCAGGGAGGACAAAAGTTAGACAGAACAAGTTTTCCATTCCTCCAAAATGGATTAAGTCGTAAAGTATCATAATATGAAATCTATTTCCTTTCAATCCAGAGTCCATATCACTCAGATTGTGCAAGAAAGATAGATAGAGTGGGAGATTTGCAGGCAGATATTCGAGAATTGTGACAAAGCTCATGTAAATGATATCTGAGGCATTTCAATTGTAAAAACTACAATTTCCATCCGTGTCTTACATGTCTTACAACAACTTAGGTCAGGTCTTTCTTCTAATATTTAATGAAGCGCGCTGATATCATCGGTTGAAGACTTGTTCGAGCAGCAATTCGACTTAATTGAAGCAACGAAAATTTAATTGTAGTGCGTGCTTATTAAAAGCGCGTTACCACAAAAAAAATAAGAGTTGGAGATGAAGAAAAAAAAGTGCGCAACAGGTAAACAAGCGCTAGAAATTTGGCCTAAAAATACATATACACGCAACGCCAATAATTACGGTCTGTACGGCGCGTAAAGCCTATATATAGGGCCCGGGGCCTATCAGTGTGCGCTATCTATTTGCTGCCTTGCAAAAGCTGATAAGCAAACAAGGGGAGGGGGTGGTGGAAGGGGGGGAAGATAACTCAGAAGAGAACTGAAGAGCGACAGCTCTAAAGAGCGCAACAAGTTGAGAAAGTTTAAATAAGAAATAAAATTAAATGAAACTGAAAACTGAAACTGAAATCAGCCGCCGCCGCCTCATTATGGCAATAGGCGAGTGGCTACCTGAGCAAGTGTGTGTGTGAGTACTCTAGAGAGAGAGGGTGAGAGAGAGAGAGGGGGAGAGTGAGAAGAGAGTGAGCGGGCGAGCGAGCGAGTGAGTGTGCAATTGCTGGCAGTCTGCCTCTGGGTCTGGGTCTCGACACTTTGCCCATTTGCCGCTGACTTTAGTCATTTTTTAGTAACGCTTGCGTTTTGTCAACATCGCGAGAGCGCGCGCTACGTTTGTCGCGTTCGTCTTGAGTTTTTAAACAAATAGCATTTACTATTATTTGTTTATTATTATTAACGCCTGCTGACTAGACACACACACACACACATGCACACGCACGCACTTGAGAGCCCGCAACAATAGCAACAATAACATTGAATACAAACTTTTCACATACCTTGACTTAGTCAGAGGCCCGAAAAAAAGTAACAAAAGCAACAGCAACAGCAAAAAGACGCAGTTGTGTGTTAAATGTCTACTTATTTTCATTTTTATTTCTTTAAAAAGTGTGCAAATTGTTATTGCTATTGCGAGGCGCCAGGCAGGCCAACTGTCTGCCCCCCGGCTAGTCTCGCATTACGCATACGCAGCGTTTGCCATTGTGTTGGCCCAAATTGCATTTCAAGTGCAAATATGAAAGTGTGGCAGGGGAGCTGCAGCTCTTGCTGCAAGGTCGCAATAGCTGCTGCTCAAGGTTATGCCGTGCCACATCAGCTGCTGCTGCCTTGGAGCGCAACCAGCTTCCGCTATTTGCATTTTGGTTGCATTACCCCAAAAAAAAAAAAGAAACGAGCTGCTTGAAAGGAAATTTTGCATGTTGTTTGCGTAGTCACAGACTATCCGCCCGCCCGCTTACGTCCTTCTTCATATATTTGCACATGACAAATACGCCATGTTTATCTGCTTTTGCCAGTGTATCTGTGTGTGTGAGTGTGCATATCCGGTTGCCACTTCCTATTTTTTCGGTTAGCTGCTCCGCAAGAATCATCAACATTTGCACAGCACCTTTTTGCATTGCTTTGGCAAACAGAACGCTGCATTTGCCAACGCCATCAGCTTGCATTGTGGCGTGTCTTAAAGCGGGGCCCCAGCTCAAACCCAACCCCCAACTAATATACAGCCATGCTGCATATACTATATACTATATATAACACACCATGTTGGCCAATAAATAAACCGACGCCATTGATAAGCCCAAGGCAATGCAATTGATTTTATGTATTGTATTGCTGATTGCACGCTCTGTGCCCTTATTGAATTTCTACACAGTGCGTGTTTGTTCTCTGCTGTTCGCTTGTGTTTGTTTGTTTGTTTGTTTTGTTTGTTTGTTCTGTGCCCTTTTGGTATACTATACCACGAAACGCACCCTTGTCGAATTATTGCTGCGGGCCTTCGGCATTACATTTTAACTATTCGCATTTTGATGGAATTTTTCTATATTAGGCAAACAAACATATTTCAGTTTTCGACTTGTTTTTGTGCACTTTAACGATTGCATGCGAATTTCAGCAGCCAGCACCCATTTTAACTGATGCAAAAATCACACATTCAAACAATGCAATGAATGCCAGTTAAGGAAAATATGGCTGAAAAGCTGCTGTTTGAGCGACGTGGAGAGAGGGGGTGGCGGGGGCAGTCAGTCAGTCGGAACTAGAGATGGTTATGTCAAACAATTTTGCATTACATTTCGCAGCGAGAAAATACGCGAAATGCTCGCGCAACTTATTGATACGCGAGACTTGAAATGGGGGCTTATTTTTTTTGGTTTAACGCCTGAATAGACAACATGTCAGCGAACACGTGTTGTTGTGTGTTAAATGCGATCATTGCCTTGATTCATTCCTTATAAATCTTCAATATTAAAGTTCTATTCAAGTTTCCAGCTACAAAACAACTTAAATCGTTTCTTTACTTGTTGTGACACTTGCTGCTAGATACCAACTCCTAGCACTTGCTGTATGACAGAATTTAATCCCATTTCCGTTCTTATCTCTGAGATATAGAGAACATAAATTGCACAACCTGCTCGATTTTTGGCTTCAGTTATAGAATTTTTGATGAATCACTTTATGAATGAATATACTTTACTTTCTTTATACTCCGCAAACATCTGTGAGGCTAGCGAATTATGCGCAAAATTAAACTTAAAATGGAATGGACCCATGATGTCATCGCCTTTCTTATCCAACACCCACCTGTACACACTCACACTCGCACCTGGAGCTAATTGTGTGTGTGTGTGTGTGTGTGTGTGTGTGTGTGTGTGTGTGTGTGCACTGCATGTCAACTTTTCATAGCGTAATATCAATTTCTGTTGGCCGTCGGCCGTCGGAATCATTGATAAGCTCGTGGCGTATGGGGCGTAGGGGGCGTATGGCTACTCGAAGTTACGCATACGACAGGTGGACCAAGGTCATTAACTAACGCTTGACTTTGGCTTCGTGTAATGTTGGTGCCGTAGGCCGCCGTCGAAAATATGTCGTAATGATTCAGTTTTCCAATCGTTGCTGCCTTATCGCAGCCCCCCCAATTTGGGCTCGTTTGGGTTTTGTTTCTGTTTTTATTTTGTGATTTTGTTTCAGTTTGCTTTTGGTGCGCTTATCAAATTGGCTTTAGGCATTCCAAAGTTGTTGTTCCCATACCAGCTGATTAGATATGAACGCGAGCGCGCACCCCTTTTTCGGAGGGGGTGGAGATTTGTCGCAGCGAGTTCTACACAAAAGTATTTATTGTTTATTTTTTTGTTATTTAATTGTTGCCTGTGCTTTGCTCTGTAACAATAATTCAACGTTTTTATGCTGCCGCAAAAATGATGATTCATTAATTTTTTGTCACCACATTTAAAAACATCGCTCGAACGGTTGCTCGCTGGATTTTGATAGCTTTACGCTTGCAATTTGTCAAGAGCTTGCCCCAACATGACCGGCAATTTATCACAGCGGCTGCCTGTTGAGCCCTTCACCCTCCCCCCTCCCCCCACCCGCCGGATCCAACGTGCCACATGGTATTCCACCACGGCCAGAGGCTCAGAGCAGAACCCGCTCACGTGCTCATCGATTGCTATTTAAATGCAATTAGGCACTTGATCTTTTGCTATTAGCTGCGGATAAAAAGAACACGAATGTAATTAAAGGCGATTACATTTGCGGGCCATACACGAGTATTTGGATCAATTGGCAGTAGCCAGAACATAAATGAATGAAAATTCCATTGTGGCGGAGAGGAAAAGCTGTTGAGTATGTGACATGCGTCCAGTAAATTTGCATAACGAAAATGTTTTCCCAACTTTGCTCAAGTTCGACTTGTGTCACAAAGAGAATATGTCAATGTACCGACAGACGCAGCAGCAGCAGCAACAGGGATGCAGAGGGAGGGGGGGCACGTGTACTAAACTCGGACTCTGACCAAGAGAAAGGCAAAGACAGAGACGCATGTCGGGCTGTCAATGGCCGGCCACAGGACATGCCTGACATGGCCGGACATGGCCAACAAAGCCTGTGCTGTATGTGAAATATGGGCTTTGCCCCGCTCGCAGTCATATTTCTTGGCGCTCAGACTCCGGACCAGATCATTTACATATAAATAACCAAAACGAGTCGTAGCCATTGATTTGGCATTTGCCAGCTGTATTTCACGCATTTTTTTTTCTTTCGAAATTCTAATGCGTTTAGGGAAATCGCTTGGTGTTGCTTGAGTTTTCCCAGCAGCGCTTTTAATGAGTTTTCCCGCACATTTTATGGGCTTTGCCCCATTTTCGGTGTATTTAAATTTTATATGTTTATTCACATTCCCTGCTGCTGCTGTTCATTTATTTGCCGCACATATCTGCTGCGCACTTCATCGAAGGCGACGGTCGCGGGGCATCTTTAAAATACTTATACTTAAATGCATACTCAAATATATGCACAGAGTCGTTAAATTTTCAAATGTTTATTTGAGTGCGTGGAAATGGCAACTGCCAGACGCGCGCGTGTGTGTGTGTGTGTGTGCACAATTCGTTGAACTCTTGATTATGAGCCGATTGAGACGTTGTGTTTAATCTGAGGCGAATTTGAGGGAAAGGAAAATTCAAATTGAAGTGCATATTTTCATTAATCATGGCCAGTTTTTCCATGATGAGCAACTTTTCACTTTATTGCAAATTCTGTTTTCCCATTCGAGTTAGAAAATGTCTTAAATCCAAATATATTTGGCCTACAGCTTTAAATGGAATATGAAATCACGTTGAACTCGTTTGTATTAATGGATTCCCAAAAACTTATACGAATTAAAGGATTGGATTATACAGCTATTTGAATGTTTTAGAGATATATATTTAAATTTACTATATCTCAGCATTCTACCTGAAATGCATTAGTTATTTATTAAATGAGCTGGTCTTAAGCCTTGGCTTAATATTGGCTGTATTTATATAGTCTGTCAACTTTTATATGTATCTGTGCGGATAACTCTTGCATTCGTTGCCTACTTCTAGGAGCTTGTTGCAGCTCACACACACACACAACCGTAGCCACATTTGTGTCTGTCTTTGTTTTCTTTTTGCTCTCTTTGTTGGAGTCTAAACAAGAGTGTGACAGATTCTTCATGTGGCTTTGCTCACAGCGTGCGCACAGGTGTGTTTGTGTGTGTGTGTGTCGATAACCCATAAAATGTTTTCACCTGGCGCAGCTTCACTGAAATTGCCGAGCATTTCACACATTTGCTCAACAAGAACAAGCTGCATCTTGTTGAATGAAAATCTTTTCGTTTTTATTGCCACATTATTTGTCAGTCGCCGCTTTACGATTTAAATGAAAAGCCTTTTCTGATAATTCAAGTGGAGCGCAAAATAAATAATTGCCATTTTATCATAATAAAAATGAAAATAAGGAACGCAATAAAAGCTAAACTGAAGCGTATGAAAAGTGGAATTACATAATTTATATCCATATCGATTACAGCTGGGGATAAATGTTTCGTTTTTGTTTTGTCAACTTTATATTTTGCATTGAATTCATCGCAAATTCAGGCTTCAATTAATATGCGGACAACGGTAGCAATTATAAACTCGCGGCTTGGATCATGCCATTAGCCCTGACAGTCATTAAAAACAAAATAACTTTGGCCAAGTGCCGACGGATTTATTGAGTGCAAATCAGCCAAGTTGGCGGCGTGGGCAATCTGGAGCACAGGTAGCCCAGCTACTGCAGCCTGCGTGGGCGGCCGTTGCCTCTCGCTCTTTATTTATTTAATTATTATACAAAGTTGCTCTAGGGCCGCCGTTCGCTGATGAGGGTGTGCCATGGGGTGGTTTTTGCCCCAAGGTCGTTGGCTTTGTGGTCCAAAATGGCTTTGTCTGCTCCCCAGGTCGTTGATTGGCCCTGAGTAGGGGGCCCCAGCTGCGCAATCTCCGTCTTGGCCAAACAATTTTTAGGGCCATTAAATTTGCACAGAATTTTTCATGTCATTAATGTGTAATTTATGCCATGCATAAATTCAATTTGATCAATTCCGTCTGTCGAATCGAATAAAAATTTAAATTTTATTTTATAATTTCAACAATATGCCTATATTAATATTATGCGATTTTCCAATCAAGTGCACACAATTCGGGTACAGGGTGCGCGAGAGTTTGGCGCATATCAATAAAAAAAAAACAAAACGTTTGTAACATACAGGGTGCATCTTCTATTGCAAAAGTGAACTTATCAAAATGCCAAGCAGCGCATATTGAAAGTGCATTCAAGTAGAAACTCATAAGCTGCACCATGTTCAATGTCAAAATCAAAGTCAAAGAGGGCAACAATACGCTGCCCCGAAGCGGCCAGCGCAGCAATGGCGGCGGCTCCTTGTTTGCCGCCGGCGTCGGTGGCAGCGGACGCAACAGTCCCGCCACGGGCAGCCTACGCAGCTCGTTGGCCTCCTCCAATGGCGGCTCGCTGCGTCGCAAGGGCAAGCATGTGCGCATCGTGACCAGCTACGATCCCTTAGAGCGCGACTACGAGCGAAACAGACAGCAGTTTGGTAAACATTTGTGCAGCAGTCGAGGGCTCTGAGATCTCTTGGAACAGCTGCTAATCGGATTCTTCATTTCTTGCAGACAACATTGATGGCGTGACGGAGCTGCGCCTGGAGCAGTACGAGATACACATTGAGCGCACCTCGGCCGGCCTCGGCCTGAGCATAGCTGGCGGCAAGGGCTCAACGCCCTTTAAGGGCGACGATGACGGTATTTTCATATCGCGCGTCACCGAAGCGGGACCCGCCGATCTGGCCGGCCTTAAGGTAGGCGACAAGGTGATCAAGGTGAACGGCATTGTCGTCGTGGATGCAGATCATTACCAGGCCGTTCAGGTGCTCAAAGCCTGCGGCGCTGTGCTGGTGCTCGTGGTGCAGCGCGAGGTGACGCGCCTAATTGGCCACCCCGTCTTCAGCGAGGACGGCAGCGTGTCGCAGATCTCCGTAGAGACGCGTCCCCTGGTTGCCGAGGTGCCAGCTGTCATACAGGAGCGCTACATTCCGCCGCCCATTCAAATAGTTCCAGAACAGCAGCAGCAGCCCGTCCAGCAGTTGCAGCAGCCCGTCCAGCAGCTGCAACAGCTGGCGCCTGCCCAGGCACATGGCTATGCGGGCAATGTGTTTGCCACGCCCACGCCAGCAATAAATGGAATGCTGCTGGAGAACGGCAAGGTAGGAGCATAGTCGTCGTACTCTTGCTCTTGTTGGATATTGATTAATTTATGTTGTCCTTTGTGGTTTTTGTACAGCTGGATTTGGCGCCGTTAAGCTTTATTCAATTGCACACGACGCTCATACGCGATCAAATTGGCCAGGGATTGGGTTTCAGCATTGCCGGCGGCAAGGGCTCACCGCCGTTCAAGGATGATTGCGACGGCATTTTCATATCGCGCATTACCGAGGGCGGGCTGGCGCATCGCGACGGCAAAATCATGGTTGGTGACCGTGTTATGGCGGTGAGTGAACTGCGCCATGCGGCCGGCTAAGTGACAGACAGACAGACGCTAATAGCATTTCATTGTATTATCCAAAACCAACCCAACCCAACCACCTACACTCGTTACAGATTAACGGCAACGACATGACGCAGGCACATCACGACGCGGCCGTCGCCTGCCTCACCGAGCCGCAGCGGTTTGTGCGCCTCGTTCTGCAGCGCGAATACCGCGGCCCCCTTGAGCCGCCGACGAGTCCGCGCAGTCCGGCCGTGCTCAACTCGTTGAGCCCCTCCGGCTATCTGGCCAATCGACCAGGTTAGAAATTCATAACGCCTCACTGCGTCGTTCTCTTAACGCTTTTAACTGTTTTTCTTTCTCTGTCTCTGCCCTTTTTCTCTCTGTCTGCCATGCAGCCAACTTTGGACGCTCTGTGGCCGATGAGCAGCCCTACAAGTACAACACACTGGCCACCACCACGCCCATGGCAACTGTGACGACAGGCGTTGTCCACAGCAACAACAACAACAACAACAATAATACGCTGCCCAGCAACAAGACTAACGGATTTGCAACAGCTTCTGCTGTCCATAATGCTCCTTATACTGCTGCTGCCCCAGCTGCTATCCCAGTTGCTGCTGCTGCTCCTGCTCCCGCTTCACACATTGACAAATCCACGGGTCAGCCGGTGCCAGCACCACGTCGCACCAACTCGGTGCCTCTGGGCGATGGCGACGGTGCAGTAAATGGTGCCGCGTCCACCAGCAGCGGCGACTCTGGCGAGGCTCAGGTAAGATGCCAAGCATTTACACTACTTTGTAGTAGCTCTGCTAGTCTCTCCTAGCTTTAGTTAACTGTTTAGTTGTGTGCACGTCATTTTAATGTTGCTCATAAGCTCGTTTGTTCGTTCCCTAATCATGCCCAGGCTAGTCTTAAGTAACCTTTAGGCCAACACTAAAAACCACAAGAACTTGCGCGACAGTTGGCCCAACACAGATCGCAGGTAAGTTCTTCAACTGTTGTTGGCCAAATGACGCGCAAGCTGGCACCGAGAGATTCATGCAAATTGTTGTTGATAAACACATAAACAATCCTTCCATATCAATTTATTTATATATATACAATTAAAAATATATATCTAATTGTGCTAATACATACTCGTATCTGCCAGATTATCAACCCGTAACCCTAGCTCTTAGCCAACACATACATATATACTACATAAATACAATATTAGTACACACCTATACATATATATATATAGATATATATAGTTATATATATTTATATAAAATTTGTTTGTGTTTGTTTTGCATGTGCCCTGTGCGCGTTCCTATTCGTGTTTTATCTTGTTACGTTTTTTTTTACATTTTTTGGTCTCATATTTTATCCCCCCCCCCAAACATATCTAGTATATAAGTATGCACAAGCGATTTGTGTGTTGTCATTTTTGTCCTTGGCTTTTAGCGTACCTATGCACTGAGATTGAAGAGCCCAGTTAAGGTCTGGACAGGGACTGTATATACATATATATATATTAATATATAAAATGCTACACATACATACCATCTACAGTTAGTTAGGAAGATTAGATTAGCTTTTAGACCCAAAATCAAAAGAAAATATGTAACGAAATTTACAAAAACCAACATATTTTTGTTTCTTTTTCTATAAACCCAAATGTTGCTTTAAACCTGAACTTTCCACAAAAAAAAAAATCCACAAAAAAAAAAAAAATCCAAAATCAATAAATTTGTCCAAATCGAATAAAACAAATAACAAAAACCAATCAACAAACTACGACCACAACAACGAGCAGTCCTCATCCCTACGGCCATTGACCAGCGATGATTTTCAGGCGATGATTCCGGCACATTTTCTCAGCGGCGGCAGTCAGCATCAGGTGCATGTGGGACGGCCCAATGAGGTGGGCGTCAGCGCTGTCACTGTGAACGTGAACAAACCGCAACCCGATTTGCCCATGTTCCCGGCCGCGCCCACCGAGCTGGGCCGCGTCACCGAGACCATCACCAAGTCCACATTCACGGAAACGGTAATGACGCGCATCACCGACAATCAGCTGGCGGAGCCATTGATCAGTGAGGTGACTATCACAACATCACGCATACACTAAAAAAAAAACAAAAAAAACGCAAAAAAACAAATACTAGAAACTTACCAAAGCTTTACAAAGCGACGCCACGCTCTGCCGAGTGCAGCAAATTTGAGACATGTTACTGTTACCCGAGTGGCGGCGCCCCATGGGGCATTATTTGGCTGCTCATTGCTCGGGCAATCAACCACAAGGATGAGAGCTTCTTTTCACCTACTTATGCACACCATACACATACACAAACACACACACACACATACACCCACCCACCACACATACACATACAACCACGAAAACACCTTTTAAATTGTTGTATTCAAATGTAATTGGCTCTTTCTATTGTTGGCCCTCATCTTATTTGTATAGCCCTTAAGCACCTACATATATAAAACTTATTTGGATATACATTGTAAATAAAAAAAATTTTTGTGCGTTTTTGCAAGCGATTTGACTTGAACGAAACTCCTCCTCCTTGCTTCTTGGCACGCTCCTAACGCTCCAGCACAGAACATATCCTTCAATTCGAATGTTGAAGCGTTTGAACAATGCGTAGCCAATGCACATAATTAAACAATTGTAATTGAAATGTTAAGCATTATGCAAAACACGCACATCGAAACTAATTTAAAAAAAAAAAAAAAACAAAAAAAAGAAGCAGTAGTTATTTATAGTTTAGTAGCTGTAGTTGGTTTATGGTCTTGCATAACAATCCGTTAATATTGCATATACAATAAGCATTCAAAGGATTTGCATTTGGTAAATGGTGCATGCAGGAATTTTAATTTTACACACGTATCGTTTATAATTACTAAATTAAAATTGATTGTTTTAAATGAAAACTACATGATTTGATCTACCTACTAACGAATTAACTAGGACCATTAACTATTTTACGGATTTAAGAATAATTATTATATTAATTGGTTTTTTTTAACGCGAACCTAATAAAACAGCTATATTATAATTTTGGTATATATTTTTGTGACGAAAGAGTTTAATGCATATTTATAAATTTAATTCCAACCCCTATTTGTGTTTGTAATTATTTACATCGTTATAATCAGAAGTTCCGCCTGTATGTGTGTCGTATCTGTCCGTTTCTAAACTATCTTATCTCACAAACTTTATAGGTTTTCCAAATCCTAGCAGTACATCATTTCCAAACAAAGAAGTGTTCATTATTTTACATTTTTATCTTAAACGAATTGACTATAACTGGCATATCCTATAGCTCCCATTGGAACAATCAGGAATTTAAGTTTTAAAAACCGTTCCGGTATATTTACCTCTTCACATTCCATTTAGCCAGAGATAAGATAGCTGATGGAACAAAATGTGTCAGCGAGGGCATTCAGTAGTCGTCACATCAACAAGATAACAGCTCTGACTAGTTGCTAATAGTTACTAATAACAGTTGATTTAAGCGAAATTGTTTGCAGTTAAGAGCAGCTGTTGAACTAAATTATATCTCGAGTTTGCCAAAGCAAATCCTTGTGATTATAAGAGCTGTAACTTAGCTCCGTTTGAGTTGCAACTAAAGCCGGCTTTGCACACACTCACACACACACACACATTAGCCACTCGAGTGTCATCGTCCAAAGCCCTGTTGAAAATCTACAAATCTGTGCAACTCATGTAGCCGTTCCTAGCCGCTTACCACATGAATAAGTAAATCGGCAAGCTAGTCCTGTTTGCGCACACACACACACAGCCGAGCCGCACATGAATACAGAATCCTTTTAATAATGCATTTTGTCTGGAAAGTACACGAAAAAAGCGTTTATTGCAACAGTTAATAAAACTCTACAAATGGGCCACGCCCACAACAGTGCAATGGGTTGTGTCAACGACACTCGTTGAACAAACTTATGAATTTTATCTCTTATTCGCCTGTCAACGGGCTGTGCGTAAGCACTGACATCAAGGCAAACTTGCATTCGCATGACAAATAAAATATTTAATTGTTTTTAATTTCACTTGTTGGCAAATGTCTCTCTGAATCTCTGACAGTCGATTGGCCAACGGCGTCGATTGCGCCACTCTGTTGCAAAAGAAAGCAATTTGCTTTAGTGAATTCACAAAAGTTATATAGTCGTAATTATATAGTTTATATCTGCAGCAGAAAAGCTCTACGGGCGTATGCCTGTCAACTGCTCGGCTAATGAATGTACAACTTGAGTTCTATTTTGACATTTTATGAAAAGGCTTGCATCGTGTGTGTGTGTCGTTGAGTTGTGCCAAGCCGCAGGCAGCTTTTTACCAACTTGCAGCTTGTCTGTGGCATGCATACAAACATATATATATATATATATACATACACCTGTTTGTTCTGCTAATTTAAATTAAAGTGCAGTGGTAAATTCCAAGGGCTTTTTTCGGCATGCCAAATAATTACTTTAACTTATTGTATCTTATTTAATATGCAATCAAGTTATGCTGAATGCATAAAGCATAACTAACTATTTAGTGTTATCTTTGGGCTCTAACTGTCTGGTGTTTTGTAATATCTGTTTTGTTGGGATTTTTAAATTAAATTGCATGTCTCTTGTTTTGGTTTGGCAACTTGGTGTCTTTGTGAATGTCTTTTTCTAATCTATCCTTTAGTTAAACATGAGACTCGAAATTTGTTCATGTAAATATCACCAACAATTTTGCACACACTCACACTCACATTTATGAGGCCACCCAACCACATAGGCACTCTTCATAACGTGCTCTTCAAATTTCAGATAGAACACTGCAATATTTAGTACTATTATTTTTGTTTAGTTTTATCTTTAATACACGCACAACACGCACTAATATCGCATTTTGTTGTCTCTGTAGGAAGTGGTGCTGCCCAAGAATCAAGGCTCACTCGGCTTCAGCATCATCGGCGGCACGGATCACTCCTGTGTGCCATTCGGTACACGCGAACCGGGCATTTTCATTTCACATGTAAGTAAAGCCACCACAAAAATTGCTGAGAGTTTGGGGAGGGGGGAGATGGCTCTTAAAACTAGGGACAAACTTTTCAAACTAATGCAGTTTGGCTGCCACAGCTTGCGGTTGCAAATGAGCTGCACAATTAGCTCGCAGTGTACTTAGCGTCTTTACAAACATTTAAATTAGCCATGGGGTCTGGTGAACTCACAACGTTTGACATCTGCATGTTAGACATAGTTAAATAATTAACTGGCGGCTAATAGCCAGACCAAGTTTTCTTTCTTCAAATTTTAGACATTACTTTTCCATTCTTGGATTAGTTCGTATCCAACGTTTGTCTTAAATTTCCTCCTAGAAATTATGAATTTTCCGATAAGTGTTAAACGTGTTTCCAATAAATGTTCATAAATGTCTTAGGAAATTAGTTTAGTCCCAAAACCTCATCAATTTTCCAACCATGATTGAATTTTCGGAAAAGTGTCCCAAATAAATTCTCAAAAATCTGTGAAATTATGTTTATATTTTGGTGTGAAGGCCAATTTTTCAAAGTTCCACTTGGAATATTTATCTTTAAGAGATAAAAAGTTCGCCTTCCTAGCTTTTACAGTGCGTCGAACATCAATCAGTAGAAACTCTCTTTTCTGTATTTTTTGTATAGTTATATATATTTATATTTAAATATCATAATATTTTCTTTGCATTCATAGATTGTGCCCGGGGGCATTGCATCCAAATGTGGCAAGCTGCGCATGGGCGATCGCATATTGAAAGTGAACGAGGCAGACGTCTCGAAGGCCACACATCAAGATGCTGTAATGGAGCTGCTGAAGCCTGGCGATGAGATCAAGCTCACCATACAGCACGATCCGTTGCCGCCTGGTTTTCAGGTAATTATTAATTATTAATTATATTATTATGCGCCCCTTTTGTATTTAGTTTGCTTTTGTGCCACTTATTATTTAGTATTTGAATTAATGTAAAAATCAAAAATTTAACGCTTTAAGTCAAACACCTATTTATACTTCTCTCTCACCTATGCTCTATGAATGCTTAAACAAACATTTACGATGCAAAGCACATAGAAGTAGTTTATATAAAAACGCAGGTAAGATTTTTCAATACTCTACACTCTGCAAACTATTGGAAACGCTAAAGATGCCTATATAAGCAACCACACCCAATAAAAACCAGCCCACAAATGTAGATTATTTAAGCTTTAATACAACTTGTTAGAAATTGTGTGTACTATCTATTTGGGGCTTATAAAATGTCCATAACAAAAAGTTTTATCATTGTTTATGTTAAGGAATACCTTTAGAAGCAAAACAGACAATTTTAAGTATTATTTTTATTTATTTCTTCTTATTATTTCGATAAACTCATAAATACCAAAGTTCAGCACAAATCAAATTTAATTTTTCTATTTTTTTTTTTTTGTAACCGAAGAACAATTTCTATAAATAAAATGGGCTATTACGATACGATCCCTTTTTTATAGAAAAAGAACCAATTTTATAGATGTTTCACAGATTAAAGAGTATATTGCAGATAAGATATGAGTAATTAGATGTGTAACTAAGTTGGGAAAACAATCCAATGCCCAACTCAAAAAGTTTCTAATATGTACTTTAATTTGAACAAAATAAAATATCAGCTCTCTGTTAATGCCAGGTAATATAGATAAACGATGCTCATTCGGTTTAATCTAATTGAGAACTATTGTTAATGAGACTCGGATTTATTTAATTAATTTAATTGACCGTAGAAAATAAGAGTGTTCCTTATAAACGCCATTGTTACCTGTTAGTCGTTGGCCAACTTGTAGAATAAGACTGCCAAGATATTTAATTTTTTTGATTGCTTTGTCTACGGCTTATATCTACCGCAATATCTTGGCAAACTTTATCGTCATAATCAAGTGAATTGCTTTGCCTTAGTTTCTGCTCTGTTTTATAATTGTCGAGCACTTAAGCAAAGCCAATGCTAATTTTTATGCTATTGTTATTGTTGTCGTTGTTGAAAATCGCAGGAAATTTTACTTGCCAAGGCCGAAGGCGAGCGCTTGGGCATGCACATTAAGGGGGGCCTGAATGGACAGCGCGGTAATCCCACAGATCCGTCTGACGAGGGCGTCTTCGTGTCTAAAATTAACTCCGTGGGAGCGGCACGACGCGACGGAAGGCTTAAGGTAACGAGTGGGTTCCTTGACAGTTGGGCGCTAAAGTTCGTTGCCCAACTGGCGGGACACATCAAATTGAATTAAATTGAATTGAAGTGAGCTAAACTTTTCTCTCGACCCCAGGTGGGCATGCGTCTGCTGGAGGTCAATGGTCATTCGCTTCTGGGCGCCTCGCATCAAGATGCGGTCAACGTACTGCGCACTGCCGGCAATGAAATTCAATTGGTCGTCTGCAAGGGCTACGACAAATCTAGTTTAATGCATTCCATTGGCCAAGCGGGTGGCATGAGCACCGGCTTTAACTCGTCTACATCCTGCAGCGGTGGCAGTCGCCAAGGTGAGTAAAACCCAAAGACGAAAGGATTCTCCAATGCAAACTTAACTTGATATTCTTTCTCGCAGGCTCTCGTGCTTCGGAAACAGGCTCGGAGCTTAGTCAAAGTCAGAGCGTCTCCAGCTTGGATCACGACGAGGACGAGCGTCTACGACAGGTAAGTCCCAGTCATATTGCCCACTGGCGAAACCCTTTAACCCTATCGACCACTTGCAGGACTTTGATGTATTTGCGGGACAACAGCCAGACATTGTTGCCATGCCGGAGCCCACTAGCCAAACAGGCCTGGCAGCTGCGGCTGCTCTGGTGCACGGGGCGCCTTCACCTACACCCACCACCCCGACGCCGCCCGCTGGGTCTGCGCCACATGCCGACATGGCACAGCCTGACACAGTGGCCGCGCAGACCGTGGCGCTTATACACGCCGAACAAACGCACCAGCAGCAGCAGCCGCAAACGCAAGTGGCAACAATTGGGCAGGAGAAGAGCACCCAGGAGAAGGTAAGTCAACGTCCTTGGCCTTTGGCGGACTGGTCAGTAGCCTTTCTACCTGTCGTGTTTAAACCAAATTAGGTGCTGGAAATTGTGCGCGCTGCGGATGCCTTTACCACCGTGCCCCCGAAGTCACCATCAGAGCATCATGAACAGGATAAAATACAAAAGACAACGACGGTTGTTATATCGAAGCACACGCTCGATACAAATCCTACCACACCCACCACACCCGCCGCACCTCTGCCGCTAATGCCCGCGGAGTCAGCGACCGCTGCCCCTCCCGCTCCCGCAGCCGCGGCACCAGTTGCTGTTGCACAGACCCAGACACAGACCAATTCCAGTCAGCAGACAGCCCAGCAGCAACAACAGGTATGTAACCAGATGCACGTCTTTTGCTAACTTACTTCAACATTTCTCTGTGTCTCAATATTTATATGTGTATACGTGTACGTATAGTGTGTGTTTGTGTATGTATGTGTGCGTGCGTGCGTGCGTGCGTTACCTTTGTTTAACGTCTCGATGTCCTTTTCATTCATACACTTAACATACACGAGCGCAAGTGACTGCTGCGCGTTCAACAAACCCAAAACATAAACCCCTAAAAAGTCAAAAAAAAAAAAACCCTTCGCCTGTTTTATTTACTCTTTTTATTTATTTATTTTTTGCTCGTTATCTTCAATAACTTCACTAACGTCTGACCTTTCGAGTCGCGTTTCTGTGTGTATGTGTCTGCTTGTATCTGTGCCTGTTCGTTATTCACATTTTATAAAAATTTATACATTTCATATAACTCGTATGCGCTAACATTTGTCATGTCTCGCAAATCTTACAACATGCATATAACACTCCATCTACTTAAAATTCACATCACAAAATCGTTCCTCAGTGCCTGCAGCTCATGGAGAATGTCAGCCTCCGTGTTTTTTGTTAATGCAAATTTTAATTTGAAAATCGCAAAAATATATAACATATATTGTACGTTTGTAATTGTCAGAAAATCCCAAACTCAGATCGTCTTTACTTCAATTCGCATATGTTAATGTGCCGGGTCTTAAAGACCAAAATCGCAAAAGCTGATAACTTAGTTTTTAGAAGAAACAAAAAGAATTTTTTATTGAAAGCATTTTTCTTAGTTTGTTTAAAATATTTCACCCATTTTTAGAGGTTACTATAAATGTAACCATCATTTTTTCATATTGCGAATAGCTACTCTTGATATTTCGAAACTTTGGTTGAAGTGTTATTGAAATATTTACAAACTTATCGAATTTTATTTTATTAAACAATTTTTTCATATGGCTTGATTCGTTAAGATACTTTATATACGCTTAGAGCAAGGTATTTCTTGTCAAAATCTACGAATAAACCAATAAGTTATAGACTTTTTAACTAACTTCCGAATAATGATTTTTAGTACAAGAACTTAGCTTCAGTTCGATCTTATCTATATTGTGGTCGTCCGTTGATTATAGTTATAAAAAGCTATAAAATATAGACTTAAAAGTTTCAAAATAATTTGTAAAAACTTAAGGTTCTTCAACTTCAATTGATACGTAAAATCTCTTAAATTGAAGGACATACATATATGTTATGTTTAATGCATTGTTTAACCTTTTACAAGTCGAATATAATATTGAGTATCGAGAATCAAATATATTTTAATAATGTATTAAAGCAAAAGCTAGAATCTGCGTTCATAAATTGATTGTGATATGCACACAATATAACTTTAGAAAAGTACATTTTTTAAATAGTTATATTTAAATGTTTAGAAACGTTTTAAATGTCCAGAAGTTAATTTGATCGATTACCCAAAATGCCCCAAGAAATACTCATATGAAAATTAGCCGCTCAACAAATGGAACACAACATCAATCACAAGCTACTCATGAGTATTCATTATAAATCGTGTTGTATGTTTGTTTGTCGTTTGCTGCATTTTGATTTAATAGTATATAGTACTATACAATCATACTTAGCAATGCCTCGGGAATTGCGCGGGGGTGGGCGAGGGTGGGTTAGGCATGAGTTATTGTACAGTAGAGTGCATGCGGAAGGGTGCTGTACATATATATATACATATATACATATATGTATGTATATATGTATGTATGTATATCTGTAGTAGCTGTTGGCTCCCCTGTTGTTGCCAGGCCTGGGAATCAGAGCTGGGACCACGTGTCCCACATTTATTGAAATGGCAGCGGGCAATTTATTATTTATTAGCATATTCCGAAGACCACATTTCTTTCGTTTTGCCTGCTCAATATTGTTGTTGTCGTTGTTGCCGTTGTCGCTGTTGTTGTTGTTGTTGTTGTTGTCGCTGTTGTTGTTATCTTATTTATGCTACTTACATTTTATATCAATTTCTGTTTGCGCCTTTATTGTTACCTTTTGGGGCTGGCTGCTGCTGCCTTTGTATGATTGTTGTGCCTGTTGCCTTACCTGAAATCCGTTAGCATTTGGATTTGCATTGGCAGCAGCAGGAGAAGACAAGAAAGAAATACCTAATATGCATAGATGGCACGTATAATAAATGTATATACAAATATGTATGTATGTATTTTATTTTATATATCTACATAAGTATTCAAAAACTGCGGAAAGGAATTTCCATTAAAATGTCTCTTATCTTCTTCTCATTCCTTCTTTTTATTGCTCTCAATGACGTGCGCGCCGTTCCCTGCTTTTCAACATATTGTTTTTCCTTTTTATATTCATTTCTCTTTTTAATATTATATTTTCTCCTTTTTCTTGTTCTTTTCGTTTTTTATTTGCATTTCGCATTCGTTTCGTTTCGATTCGTAATTGTCATTTTCCTTTGCGCTTTGCGCAGATCTCAATTCAGCGTATTTCTTAACCGTCAGATGTTTCCCACTATAAGACTGAGTACTTAGTTTAAAATACAGGAAAATATTTAAAATAAATGAGCAGAAACAAATGTTAAGCAACAACAAAACTGATAATACAGACAGCAGCATGTCATGTTGTTCACATATGAAGCCTCGTCGTGTTCAAAGGGCAAAGAGTTACTAAATACTGGCTAAAAAAAACTCACAACACAGAGGCTATACCTATTCGTAGGACAACAAATTCACTCGATCTAGCATCTTAAGAATACTGAACGCACCTGTCTAAGCAAATGGTTTCAATGTCCCTCATTAACCAACTATGTAAATGTTGAAAGGACATAAAACAAATTGTAAAGAATATCAAAAAAGTAGACTCAACTTCGGGCTGCCGAAGATTTAATACCCTTGCAGACGTTTAAGTGTTGTAATTGAATCTTCAAAAAAAATATATATATATACATTGTAGGTATCTTAAAAATTAAAATATCTGTTGTTGGTTGTGGTCCGATTTGTTGTATAACTTAAAGTTTAATTAAAGCCAAGAAATAATCCCGTTGGATCATGAAATTTCCACAAAAATGATACACAACAAATTAAATTATCAGCCGATTGCTGAGACCAAATCCGATTTAAGTTGAATTTGTATTTTTCAAATTGGTCAAGACATTAAATACTTTATGTATGGCCAATTTTCGTTGGGGTAGCTCTGCTCTCAAAAAAACCAACTGTACCAACTTTCACTTCCTTATTAGGGGAATATATATCTATGCACTTGATAAAATTGGGCAAATATCTGCAGGGCTATATTGATAAATATCAAAACATCTTTAACACACACTCAAGGTCCCTCCCGATATTTTATACAGCAAAAAAAAACAACAAAATTAAGATGTATTGAACATCCTGAGCCGCCATTTTACGGCGTCCAGTATTCACATACTGTATAAGTATTGTTGTCTTTCGATGTTAACAAAGTCCTATGTATGTATATGTATATGTATATGTATATGCATTTGACGCATTGTCTATTATTGTAAATTATTGTTATAGTTATACATATTTAACACTGTGCGGCAGGCACACGAAACGGTCCAAATACGCAACTAAATAGTACTCTCAGATAAATATCATACTACTTTGAGTCTCGCAAGGTACAAATAAGCCAAAAATAAAAGATAATAGTCTGGCCAACTATAATATAACTATTGAATGTTGAACAAACTTTCACTACAATTAGGATTATAAGTATGTGTTATGTTACATCTATTGGAAATCAATTTGTTAATAGTTAATTGAATGGGATATTGGCTGCTTTTGAGGAGTTTGCTTTCTGATTTGATAGGTTGATTTTGTTTCTTGGTCGTTAGTTACTGTTAGTCAATATAATATATATAAACGGCTAGGTAAATGGAATAATGGAGTATGCATTTTTGATGTCAATAAATGAAATCTAAATGTTCTAAACGTAACTACGTGGACTTATTTCGGGTGTGCTCCAAGGAGATAATTATAGAGAGATCTTAATAGACAGGTTTTTCTTTTTTTTTGTTTAAAATGGGCTCAAAACGTTTTCATTGATTACTCGGGGTGCATCTTTTGTGTTATGTCCATTTTGTTTTCATTGTTAGTTCTCTCATTGTTTTCTTTCATTCTTGTAAATTGTCCTTGTCTCTGTTTCGCCACGCCGTACACTCGTTTTTAAGTACGCCGTAACCGTTGTGCAGCTCATTCCATCCATCAAGCAAATTGGCCAGAGCAACGCAATTGCACCTCATCATCAGACAGCGACATTGCTAATTGGCTAACAAAGTGCTGGCGGCCCTGTACGTGTACGTGTACGTAACGTTAAGAAAAAAAAAAAAGAAAAAAAAACTGGTTGCCGTAGCAGCAAATATATCATCATGTGCACAACCAACATCCAACCAACATATCAACATCCACAACAGACTCACCAGCAACTACAGACCACACACTCAAACTCAAACGCACTCAATTAACGTCGCACATTGCAAATTTGTGTTTCATGCTTGTGTGTGTGCAGCTGTTCCCGCAAACAAAAACTGAAAACTAAATGAAAACCCCAAAAATCCAAAATCCAATAGCAGCGCGGCACGCAGACACCGGAACGCGTGGCGCCCGGAGCACGTTATTCCTATCAGCAAATGCTGGAGAGCCAGGAGGAGAGCCGGGCGCCCACAACGCCCAAGAAGGCCGAGCCAGTGTACATCATAGACGATGAGGATGACGATGAGGACGAAATTGATGCCATTGCGGAGGAGGATGAATCCTCGCCGCCCGTCGATATACAGTCGCCGCCTTCGTACGCAGACACCGACTCCGATTGCTTTGAGCGTCCGCGGGGACGCTATACCAGCGACTCGGAGAGCGATTGTCGCCCCTATAAGCCGTCACGTTCCGGGCGCAGCACGCCGGAGTATGCCGGTGGCCATCGCAAGTCCGTCAGTTTCGATCTGAGTGGAGACGAGCGCTCCAAGTCGGATTATGAGCGCTCGCGTTCCCGCACGCCGGATCGCTTCACGCGCGCCTATGACTCGGAGCAGGATACGCGCACAAAGGCCATTGGCCGCATGCCGCGCAAGGGTATCCTGCGCGCCACCAGTCCCAGCTCCTCGGCCAGCTCCACGCTGGAGCGTCGTCCCGAAAAGCCGCCGCCCATCGTTCCGACCGTAGCACGCATACGCGAGGTGGAATCACCGCAGCTGCAGCGTGTTTCCCGGGCCACATCGCCCGAGCGACCCGGTGAGCTGGAGCGCGAGAATCCCTTCCGTCAGGTGGAGCCCTATGAAGATGACGAGTACACGCAAATTGCCAAGGCAATCAGCATGTCGCCGCGCTCGCCGCGGGATCAGTTCTTCTTTGGCGCCTCTCGCTCCAACGAGGATCTGATCGAGCAGTCGCATTCCAGTGGCCGCAGCACGCCCAGCACGGTCATATCGAAGTCGACGGAGAACTTGACGGGCGCACGGCCCAAAGTGCCGCCGCCAACGCTGCCCAAGCCGCAGCTCAAGAAGGCCGATCTGGTGCGCAACGTGGCGCTCGAGACCTTCCAGGCCACCGATGTGGGCCAGGGCGACTTTGCGGTGTTCGAGCACGACCCCAGCACCAATACCATACACCAGGTGGCCAAGCTGCCCGTTCGCCTGGCCAGCAGCAAGTCGTCCAGGCCGCGTGAGAGTCCGCCGCCGCCGCCCGTCAACTACTCGACGCTGCCCAAATCGCCGCTGCCCAAGCTGGCGGCTGCGCTGCTGGAGGAATCCGCCTATATGGAGGCGCTGCCGCCAGCACAGCGGCGTCCCAATGATTTCGTGCACGAGAACTCGCCGGACAATATATTGGTAACGCCGGAGCAGCATCGGGATTTCTTGCTGCGCGAAAACGAGATGAGGAATCAGCTGCGCGCTCCCTACGAGCCGGCGCCGCCCATACCCATAGCAGCCGGCAGCGGCGGGGGCGACAGCAGCAACTATGCGGTAAACAACCCTTTTCTAGATTGTTGCGACACTGACATTGACAGCCTGCCACTGCCACCCCCACCACCCCAAACACCGCCCGCCCAGCATTCATCAGCACGTCATTTGCATGAGCCGCCACTAACCGCTGTCGCCACTAACGCAACAACAACATCTTATTCTCCCATTGCCAACATTGCTAACAACTATCTGATGGATGCCGCGCCGCAGCCGCAGCAGCTGCTGTTGGGGCCCGCAACGCCCGCGCAAATCTTTCCCGCGGCCCAAATACTGCCCGTGCAATATGCCAGCCTCCCGCAGCCGCAGCAGCCCAATAAGCTTAGGTTGGGCGGTGCGGCCACGCCGCAGCCCGTGTTCAACGTGCTGCTGCTGCCGCCCGGCGATCAGCGCCAGGTGGCTGCCGGTGACGGTGCCGGTGCCGGCTCCTCCGCAGCTGGGCCGCTTTATCTGCAGGCGTCACAGTTACCGGTGAGTGAAACGCGTGTTGCTGTCTCATCGTCCACGCCCGTTGTCACGCCCAAATCGCCCTCCTATGCCACCATGAAGTTTCCAACGTTCTCGGAAATTCTGGTCAGCCCAGACTCAAATAGCAATTACCAGAACATGACCACAGCTCGCGTTGACATATCGAACTCGTCGCTGGGCACCAGCAGCTCCTTCTCGATTAACTCGTCCAACTCGTCGCTGCTGGCGAAGACCGCGCCTGCGGTCGGTGCGCCCTACAGCAGCTACTATGAGACGGCCGAGGAAATCTATTCGACCATCGAGGAGGAGGCCATTTACAGTAATACCGCGTTCTTTGACTCACGTCGCAGCAGCGATACCTCCCTAAATTGTCGCGCCTCCAAGTCGCCCACACCGCCCCCCCTGCCACCGAAGCGACCGTTAAAGCCCAGCAAGCTGCGCACTGCTCCGCCGCCGCCGCCTCCGGTGGCCCAGAAGCCGCACGGTCTACGTGGCATGGCCAACTTCAAGCTGCGTTCACAGTCACAGCCACAGCTTTTAACAATAGCACCCACCACGCCCCGAACACCCCAAACGCCCACAACGCCAAGTGGCAAGGAGACGACCGTGTAGCTCAATGCCGCCTCGACGCCCACTTTCGAGATGTCCACTTGAGCTAGCTGCCGTCTGTCGTCTGCCTTCTGCCTGTTGCTTTCTGGGTCAAGCTGGCGACGCTTCTTAAGTGCTCCCTAGTTAACTGCCTCAATTGCATTACCACAAACCAACTCCCTCCCCTCCCCCCCCCCCCCCGCACAGTTGTCGACCAGCCGCTCGTGCATTTTAATTAAAATCCAACACCTTTTTAGCCATCAATTAAAAGTGCAACAGCAAATTGAGCAGCGCACTGCAGACGCTGCTGTAGCTTTCAATATTTTTATTTGATTGATTGCTTGCCGGTAACCAACTGCGAGGGGGGAGTTGGGGGGTTGGCAACCAGTGCAACCAAACCACATATCACCTGCAACCCGCCGCATCTGTCTTCCTAATTAGATGCGACTTTTTGTTGACTTTGGCGCCAGCCACCACACCTGCCAAATTCCTGCAAGTTAAATGTGCGCCCAAAGCCGCTCCTAAGCACCTCAATCAACATTCTGCTTACTCTCCTTCTCTAATTTTCTCTCCCCCTCCCTCCCTCTCGCTCGCTCTCTCTCTCTGCTTTTGGTCGAGTTTAATTTGACGTTGATTGAAACATTCGTTGCTTGAAGCGCTGCAGTTAACTCGCCCGCCCCGCCCCGTCATCAGGTCGATTCCTTTCTCTTTTTTTTTCACAACTTGGCGAACACGAATAAAACCCAATGAGAAAATTGAAGTTAAATCCACACACACACACACACATATATATATAGAGACAGCCACACAAATTACAAAAACAAAATACAAATGCAATTTTTACACTTTTACAATTTATATAGTTAATTTTTGCGTAGAGCTCTTAAGTTGATTTTAATGCTAATTTATTTTGACTAACCAAACAAGTTGAATATTTTTTTAAATACGTATCTTAAATAAACGATTCTGTGTAATTCGATATGTTGGATATCTCTCTCTCTCTTTCATTTTGTGTTGTCCCTCCCCACGCCAGTTGGCTTGATATGAGCTTATCTAAAAGATAAGTTATTCTCTGCGTGACCTTGACTAATTCGCCTGACCTGAACTGGTTCGCAACTTGGCTAACTTAACCACGCCACGCCCCATGCCTTGATGCACGCTGCGTGCCGCACGCTTTGGCGTCCGGCGCTGCACTGATTTGTCGCTTTGGGCAATGCGACGCAGTTGGCCTCAGCTCTGAGCCAACTCGCAGACTCGCAGTCTTATCTTATCAGTTGACACTGTTAATTGCGATACGCGATAAGCGTGCTGCCAATGTCTGTGTATTGATAACACACTAACACACTGACAGACACTTGATGGGCGAAGCGGGGGGCGTGCCTGAATCATTCAATAGCTTATTGGCTTTTAATGCGCTGACCAGAACTGCTCGACCCGTCTGCACATGCTGCTGCTGCTGCAGCTTGTGGCCATTTTCTCAACACTTTCATGGCTCAATAAATTTCTATTAGCTCGTCCGTCGTTCGTCCTGGCAGGAGGGAGCATAGCATAGGTCGCCGCTGCTGTTGCTTCAATCTAAGTACGGGTATCGAGTTTAATTGAAAATCGAAAAATCCGATACGAAATTAATTTCTTTGCTAAAAATACAGCACAGTGGATCCTTGATACTCTGGCTGCCAGCTCCCGGCTGTTGCCTGATGGCCTTTGTATATATAGCTGCGTACTTGACTTGTCTTCATGGGGGAGTTGGGAATTGGGTGGATTAGTTGCTGATATCGCTTTTCCATGCACTTGTCGTTAGTCGCTCGCTTGTGCTGCTCTCCTTTATTTATGAGCCTGGCTGGCCTTGTGTGTTGGCCAGTGTAGCACTCGCATCTGTGTGCGTGTGTGTGTGTTATCCATGCAAGCCAAAGGATAAGGTTGCAATTTGTGCAGTTTAACGCTGGCTTTTGCTCTTGCTCTTTCTACTGCCGTTTAATGACTTTGTCGTCGTTGCAGCAGCCGCCCACACACACGCCCCCCTTCGCCTTACTCACCCTGCAGGCATTGGCCTTCTCATATTGCCTAAAACGAAGAAATTGCTTGAAAGCATAAAACCGACAGTACATGACTTTGGATGATAAATTGCCTGACCCCCACTCCAGTTCTGCCCTCTGCTGCTGCTCTGGTCTCATTCCAGCCGCCACAGCTGTAATTTGCGTCCCCGCGCCCGTAAATTATATGCCTTGGGGCAAAAACAATGCGTTGATTCCCTCCTTTTGTTGGTCATTTCATGAGCGAAGCGCTGGCTGCTCCTAACATCCTGCTGCTGTTTCTGCACTAACAAATGCTCCTCCATCGTTCCATGTGCTTTTTAATAAACTTGTGCAGTGCCATCAATTTGGTTTATGGTCGTTTGGATTTCTTTGACTTTCATTTTGAAAACTGCAGTTTTTCCAGTCGTTTAATTGAAAATGGACAACACGAGTCAAATTTTTGACTATTGACTTTTTGTTTGTTTTGGGTTTTCATTGAAAGCTTTTTTATTTTTGATGACTTGCTAACAAAAGGTTTTGCATTTTTCCAGCCATCACCTGCGGCCGAGAATGCGCCGGCCGTGGCCACACCAACACCCACAAAAGTGCCTAAATCGGTATCCGATAAAAAACGATTCTTTGAGTCTGCCATGGAGGATCAACACAAGCCCACACAAAAGACAGGTGAGTTGATGTCTAGCTGCAAAAAGTAAAAAACACATCAAACAAGTTAGAGGAGTCCAGTTAGCAGTGACCGACTAGGTGATGCCCTGCACCCAGCGGCGAGCTGCCTTTGCAAATATTGTAGCTTTTTACTATACAAGAGAGTCAGCATACCAAATGTGGAATTTGTAGTACGTAGAAATTATGAGATATGTGCAAAAACAGGATTTCAACATATCAATGCAAAAGAAAACTTGATCTGCGCTGGCAATGAGCGAATCTACATTTAAAACATGGCAAGATGTACTAGATTGTAATACTCGCAAGAATGTATATACATTGTGGAGTCGGAAATTTCTCCGTCTTCCTGTTACATTCATTTGCACAAAGCCAATATACCCTTTTAGCCAATTTTCAATGGGTACAAGGATTGAAAAGCAGTAGTCAAAATAGTGCTAAAATGGAAGCTTCCCTGTACTCAGATCTAAAACAAACATCTACACAAGCTAAACTGATAGAGAATATAAAGACCCAAAACATCAAATATAGTACACACAGGACATAAATATTTAAATTCATTGTCGAAGAAATATGTTTAAAAATATATTTGGATTTTACCACTAATAGTATTCTATAATTATGTCGTTATGTTAATCAAACTACGAATTCCTAGAATTTATCAAAATACATTAAACATCTCTAATGTAAGGAAACCAAAATAAAACATAATCACAAATGTATCTTTGAACATTGTTTATCTTGAACCTTGAAATGCCAATATTTCCCAATAACATACAAAAAAACATAATATTTTACCATTAAAATAGGGTTATTCACATATATAACAAACAAGGTTGATAATTAAATTTGATTAGATTAAAAACCCAAATTGAATTCTTATAAAGTTCTGAGGGTGAACAATCTTTGATCCAGCAACGTACCTAGAAAAAAAGACTGCCTAATATTGGCAACAGGCAATTAATCAATTCGCATATGTTAAATAAGCGAAATATTTCTATCGATCTTTCGAGGAGTTAATCGTTGGTATTCATTCGTTATTCGATGTGATTCCACATGTAGAAGATGTAAATTTTTCCATATGATCACGGCGCCAGAGGACATAGTCATATAATATTAAAACATATCCCAGTATATATCAAAATGTGTTTCAAGTCCCTAGCTGGAGGGTGGCGTGCATATCAATATACTCTTGTCAGTTTTTGAACGAGTATAAAGATTCTGTTGCGCATAAGATACACAATAATAAGATGAAAATGAAGGCAGCTCTCAGTGGTTGGTTTTCAGGCCGCATATCCATTGCTTCTTGTGTCTTGTGCTGGCAATTCTTATCAGGTTTTTGCTCAGTGGCTTGTGTAATTAGAAAAGGAGGCGTGCGACTGTACGTAGCTCCTTCCTCGCTGGAATTTGCATGACAAAGAAACGTCAAAGGAGGTAAGAGGAAGACAGAGAGAGAGAAACAGAGAGAGAGAGAGAGATGGAGAGAGCCTTCACAAGGATGTAGTTGACGTGCGCAACTGCAGTCAGGGATTAAAGCTAACCACGGAGGCGTTGGCTAGCGCAACAGCACGGGTTTCTTTTTATATTTAACTAATTTATATTTTTTTTTACTAGCTTTTAGTATTTATATAGGGGATTTGTTGGGCGAGGGGGGGAAGGGTCTGCAGTTTCATCGCAATAAAATGTTGGCGGCTTTAAGTGAAGGGTGGCATTAAAAAGAGTTGCTTTTGGCTTATGGTTAACTAAAGTGGTTTTGCTCTATCCTATAAATTGCAGATAAAGTTTTTTCGTTCCTGTCAAAGGACGAAGTCGAAAAGTTGCGGCAGGAAGAGGAAAAGAAAATTGCAACATTGCGTCGTGATAAGAAATCCAGATTATTAGATGCTGCCAATGACAACATTGACAAGGACGACGATGGCAGGCATCCTGATAAGCAACAGGATACCGCTGACAACAGCAGCGGCAGCAGCGAATACAACAGCGACGACGACGACGACGACGAGGACCACAACGAACTGCAGGCAAGCGGCCGCAGGGATGTCGTTGACAATGTTGTGCGGGCGCAGTTCGATGATGCGGAGGACATGAGGTAAGTGCACTTCATGGCAAAGTCTTATTGGATCATTGGTGCTTGCGCTCTTTTTGCATTTTCTGTTACATTTCAATGCACAGACACGTCCACAATTGGTCACTCCACAACACAATTACGATAATGACACACACACAATCGCACACTTCGACACATATTAGCTATAATCCAAGGTGTTTGTGCATTTGTCTTATCTATTTGCTTCATGTTAAGTTTTAGGCATTGGTAAAGTTTTCTACTGCTGCCTTTTGGTTTGGTGCTGGTGCCGGTGCAAAGAAAAAACGCTTTGATTTATGTTGCTCTTAAATTAAATTATCCATAAGCATACACACACACTCTCTCTCTCTCTGTCTATCACACACAGACACAAACATATATCGTAGTTCATATTTTTCACTCCACATGCCGCACATCCAGCCAATTGACGGAGCTGATCATCATTATCGAAACGTAGTGTATGTTATAAGCATCTATTCAAGTTAAATAAGTAGCCCTTACATGTAGTTACATATATACCATATATCTAAGTATATTAAGTACCCACACTTATATACACCCAAAGCGGTTTAAGTTTTAAGTAGCACTTAGGCGTTGTCTGGACTCGTAAATCGCAGGAGAGCCTCTGAGGCGTTTTGCCACTTAAAAACATGTTATGCCTCTTATGCGTGCCTCATATTTCTTCAGCCATCAGGCAGAGCGAGAGAAAGAGAAGGAGAAGGAGAGCGAGTTCTATTTTAATATATCCATCCAGTGGCGCATAACTCGACATTATCTATGAAAAGGCTCTGGCATAGAACTTCTGCTTCTACTGGTAGCAGCCAAATTTATTCTCGCATTACGGCGCTTTGTGTGTTTATTTTGCAGCATATCGCGTATACGCAATGTTCTCCCATGCCCGCGAGCTGGCTCGATTGGCAGAGTTTTGCTTTTGTGCACTGGCTGAAAATTCAATTCCCGCAGGCCAAATGCCAGCTGTTTTCGCAATTGGTTAACTTCATTTTTCAAGCAAGCCGCAAATTGTTGCGTTCGTGGCGCCTCCCACGCAGCCAGCATTAATGGCAGGCGGGCAACTGAAAAGGTCGCGTTGTGGGCGGGCAAACACACGCGCGCTCAGTTCCAGCTACGCATAATTTTAGGCAGTGCGTGGATTTCAATTTATGCGAAAACATCCTGGAAGCGCGAGCGACAACAAATCCTGCTTATAAAGGATTCCTCTGATCTTTTGAGGAGTGCTACTCGGGAACTGTATTTAAATAAATAATAATCGCTGCGACTTAATTTGTTAACCCACAAAATCCCTGTCAGTGTCACTCGAAGTTGCATGCAACATGTAGCAGCCGCAACGCGCAAACTTTTGCCAACTCCATCGAGCTGTTGCTGTTGCTTAAATATAAGTATCTCTATGTAGTATGGTATGTACCTCTCATGTATGTCAGAAAGCAACTGGGAGCCACTGCTGATGTCATTCCCATTCCCGTTGGCCTCCAGCACCCTTCAAGCAGTTGTTATTTTTTTGTTTGTTGTTGCTCTACTGTCGTCTGTCCATGCTGCTGGCGTACCTTTACATGTTTATCAGGCAACGTATGTCTGGCGTGTATTGCCGTCGCCCATGGCGGACTTGCTTCTAGTTGTTGACTCTGGCAGCATTATGTAATGAGCAACAACAATGTAATTTAATACAATTTTATCCACACTCCAGAGTGTTGAAGGACAACAAAATGGAAACAAACAAACTGAAAATAAAGGCATGAAATTCAACCTTTAAGCGTACAAAAAACCAAATACCCTGGCCATTCCAACTCCCATTAATCGGATAGATTACAATATGGGTATTGTTCAATGAAAACCTATTAAATGAATACCACTTAATTATTAACACTTTATTTTAAAAAAAATATTTCATTTCACGTCGTTTAAATCAATGGCAGAGTCTAATTACCCAACAAGTGCGAGCTCTCAACCCAGGCTAGGGAATCGATATTGTGGTTGAACTTAATTGCATAACCCTGTTATTGAAATGGTCAATCAATAATAAGGATCGAGTCCCTGAGCTCTAGTATATAGTAAAGTATAAGTAAAAACAATCAATTAAAATATTGAGAAATTAAAGTATTTTTGAAAAGTTGCATAATGACCTATAGAAAGTTTGAACTACATTTTCTTGTATGGCTTTTATGGCTGTGGCTAAATTTGGTTCTGTGTGCTTCTGTCATGTGTTGCAAACAGTCTGACAAAGCTGCATAACCCCTGAAAGTGGCACACAAACAAGTCGTGGCATGCACATGAAAGGTTGACAACACGAGATATCATTTAGCGGCACAAAATAACAAGTCGCAAGACATCGGAAGCAAGAGCCGCAACCCACCCACAAGGCGAGCAGCCAACGCTGTCTGTTTGCGAATTAAATGTATGAGAAGTGGAAAGCGGGCGGAAAAAGGGGCGGGGCTGCTATGAAAATATTTCACAAACAAAGAGCCATTATGTACTTTTCATTACGCAAGCGTCTGTAACGTAGCATTAATGGCCTTAGAAGCAAAAGCAAAGCACAGACAGCTAAGCTGATGATTTGCCAGCAAGTAGGCTAACACTCTCAAACTCTCACACTCTATTTGATCTATTCGAGTGGCAGCCTTTCCTTACTTCAATTCAATTCGCGCAAACTGCTCGTTATGATTTTAATTAATTCTCGCTTAGTATTTTCTAAAAACAAGATGTTGTTTGTATTACATGACGCGCAACATAACTGGTCAACAAATCAATGATAACCTTGGAGTCAAATTTGCGCAGCTTCATAGGCCAAGCCGAGCCGAGCCGACTGACCAAATGGCTTACAGCCCGGCCCGAAATTTACATAAATTTAAATGTGTGTTATTATGTTGGCCTCGTTCGGCCTTGGAGCTCATATCATAAGAAAAGGAGACAAACATGTTAATAACCTATTTACAAATTTCCCAGCAAGAATTTCTACTAGTCTTGTTTTTTATTTTTATTTGTTTTTTTTTTTTTTTTGCGCATAAATTTCAGTTTCGGCGCTGCCGTAAAACAGACAAAAGAACAACGTCCGATAAAAAAGAAGAAGATATTTATATAGCCAGCCAGTAAAGCCACAGCAAATTAGCGGGCAGAGCAATGTTCTCAATGATCTTTTCGTATTTATATTCAAATTAAACTCGTTTAAATCTATAAAAATTGTGTAGCACAAAGGCTCGCTCAGATCCGTGTTTATAAATTCTTCGCCAGCTTCCGTGGCGACAAAACTTAACGTTAACGTCAACGTCGGCGTCGGCAACGATGTCGGCAAAACGCAATCGAATTATTATTTGTGCATTAATCGGCTAATTTATAGTTTGATAATTTATGAACTATTTCTAGTTGGTCCGCCGCTGCTTAAACGCTTTGGCTAACCGCTTTGCCAGCGGCTGACAGTCGCGGCTGACTCCCTCGCTCTCGCTTTCGATTGGCTTTGGCCGTTTGGCGCAGCGGTTGCCCTTGAATTAATCGCGACGTCAAGACAATTGGTCAGCTTTGGATTTTGTTTTCTTTGTGTCTTTTTTGTGGTTTTCTTGTTTTTTTTTTTTGGTTTTTTATTTTTTTACATTTATGTACGCAGGTTTGTGAGCGAGCACAGCTTCTTGGGCCGCTTTTGTGATTTTATGCAGATGAAAATATTTATGTTTTGTTGATTGCGCATAAATTAATTTATATTTTATGGCGTTGGCGCTACGTTCGGTCCACAAATGGACCGCAGCGCACCGTAGCGCATATGCAAATCCGTATTTTTTTTTGTGTTTCTGATATAAAAGCATAATTTGACCTTAAGCTAAAATGAGGGCGTTAATGGTGCTCTTTAAATATATGTGTGCGTGTCTAGCTATTTCTGTTGCTCTTCTTCGCATACAATTATTGTTGTTTTTTTTTTTTCAGTTTATTTCGATTGTTTTTTTGTACATTTTGTTTGTTGCTATTGGCGCATAAATATTAATTAAAGTTGGAAAAACCATGACAACATTAAGTGGAAAAGAATGAGCGAGAGCAACTTAGCAGCAGCCGCACCACCACCACCAACAAAACCTAAAGGCAGTAGAACATTTACTTAGCCCCCCCACAATGAGATTTCCTTCTTTTTTTTTTTCAATTATTATATATCTAATTGCTTTTCTGATCCGTACCTCAGTGCCTGCAAGCCCGGTAACAATGCACCTGTTTAATTGTACATCACAAAAACTTTCTGTTTCTGCTTCTCACCAACTTTTTTCAGGAATCCACTTGACGAAATTGAAGCAGTATTTAGAAGCTAATACTAAACTAAGTTCTGACACCAATACACACACACACACACACACACGCGCGCAGCCTAAATCACACAGTTATGAAAATGTGACACGTTTATTGACTAAGTTCTGATATCTAACCAAATAGATACGTAGCCTATATAAATATATATTAACAATTTCTAAGCGAGAGAATTTGACTAAAAACTAACTAACTCCATTCTACATTACTATGAACACCCATTTTGATATGCAGCAAAGTTTTTATAATGTTAGCGACTACGTAACTCGCGATACTTTAATATACTATGTAATGCAGCTAAAGAAGATCGCACGCCCACATAATAAGCATAGTGTTAATGTTGACTTTTTTTTTCAACTTGTACGATATGATATTTCTCTTTTCAATTCGCTCCAAACTTTTACATAAAACGAAAAAACTGCAGCTCAGCGTTGTTCACTTCACCAGCACTTGAAATGCTTTTACACACCTCTGCCACACTCGTACACCTGCAGCGGTTTTAAAGTACTCACTCACACACACACACACACATACACATACACAGTTATACACGCCCACTTACTGACTCACTTACCGCCCTTAGCGCCAGGGGCCATGTTATTAGCATACTACTACCACACGCGTTTAGTATTTGAAAAAAAAAAAACGGGAGAAAATATAAAATTAAAAATAATGATTTTTAGAGCAGGACAAGGAGTCTAATTAAAATGCTCTAGGCACGTTTAGCTGCTTACAGAGAAAGGGAGGGAAAGGAGAGGAGGGAATTATAGTGCCTAGCTAAATAAATGAGTAATTCCTGACTTAATAGTTACATTTGCGTATTCAATTGTTCACAGTCCCAGAAGCCGTCGTTTGTCATTGTTTTAATTTTAAAGGCAACTCGACCAATTTCCATAAACGAACTAAACAAATATTACAAACTTGTTGGGTGAAGTCCGAAGTTGAAACAGTTTTATTCATGTGTTTAACTGCAGTATTTAGTTTTATCTGCGACAATTCCAAGCGCAGCTCCTGAGTATATATTCCCGCAAACGCATGCATGTTAAGTTTATGAAATCGAGTACGTTGTTGTAGTCAGCGTTAAATTTTTTAATTATATATTTTATAAATATTTATATGATTGTATATGTATTAATATAATTACAAACACACACACACACACGAATTAAGTGTTCTATATATGTACTACGTTTACGAAATCCATGCATCATCATCAACAACATGAACCAAAAACATCCACAACTATTTATGCTCACACATTGCCAATGCATTTCCTGAATAACATGTGCCATATATCTTATATATGAATGTATGTATTTTTTGTTACTTCGCATCATAATGGAAAAATGTCTATAAATAAATAAAAGAAGAAAATCAATTTCAATTTATTGCAGTTTGTCATACATCTTACATATTAACTAACAAACAAATATATCTCGGTTATGGTTATTTATAAATTTCGATTTACTTAATCTCGACAAAAATATTGAAAACCAAGAACTAGGAGCAAAACGAATTCCAAGTAAAAGTACATTGTAAAAAGTTATAAGGACACTCTATACATAAATCTGTCAATTGCAAAAGTTCAGCGCGTTTAAATACTATATATATATATATATATATATATAATGGTCGGATTGTCCCGCTGGGGCGGAATGCCAGCATGTCTGCTGGTGCCCTCTGGAGTGCCTGCGCAAAGTTCATTTAAAAGTCGAAAGGACAAATGAATGAATAAAACGAGCCGAGCAAATGGCAGCGCCGAATTGTGTAAAAAAAAAGAGAGAAGAAAAATAGTATAACAAGTGCAGCTTGGCCGGGTCAAGCCTGGCCGCACTTAGCCAACACTGCAGCTGCCCTTCTATGCGCTTCTCAGCCGTGACAGCTGCTGCTCACTCGTAGGTGGCTGAGCTTCTCACCGCCGACGGCGGCGTGTGAACTGGAATACATAAATCACTCAAGCTGAAGTTGCAGCCACGCTGATTCAGCTGCAATAATTTCGCATTAAGCTTGAACCGAAAGTGTGTAGCAATTTGTTTAAGACAAAAGCCACTTGCAGCGAGTTCTTAAAAAACAGCCAAGAGTGCTCTAGTCAAAAGTGTTCGACTAGCAGATACCCTGAAATCGCACACACTATGGGAAATGCGTTCGTAATTAACTAAGCTGTTGTCCGATCATTATAAAATATTAAGGGCATAAATATGGGGGAGTTCCAAAAGTGAAATACTCTAGAACTGAGCATACATCCCAAATTGGTGGATCTACCTCTTCCAGCCACAGGAGAACCTATTTTCTAAATTTAAAGTCAACGTCTTCATGCCTAGGCTAGGTCAGCGACAATCTCATAGATTCAAGGAAGCCTTCTGCCCTCTACATACACTTGTACCATTATACCCTTTATGTTCAATATCACTGGGGTAGGGTATAAGAATCGGGCCACAAAGTTCGTCAGTGGCAGACTTAGGCAACGCGAGCATAGCCAGAGGAGGAGTAGTTGGAGGAGGTGCGTGGAATACCACTGGCGGATGAAACCTTATTGCAAATAGTTTTAGTGTGCTCACTTTTAAAATTAATTTTGCATACATACGTATATATTTGTAGAGTGCTATACATATATATGGATATGTAAAGCGGGATGGCAACGCAAGTTTTACGACTTAGCCGAGTTGCAACTGCTCATGGCTTATGCCATGCCTGGGCCAGATTGTCTCGAGCTTTGGCTCTGGCTGTGACTCTGTGCTCCTGTTCTTCATTCTCCATTGCCAGCTCCCTGTTCCCTGTTCCTGCGTGTGGGCATCGCTTCAGTGCCTTGGCTGTCTGCCTTAGCACGCTAATCTCCAGATGCCATGTTATTGCACTTGTTGGCAAAGTTGTTCAAAAAGTGATTTTGTCAGTGACGGGGATTTGGGCTAGGCGTGAGTAAAAGTTTTCAATGTGTTTCTTGGTTTTTAATTACAACAAATTTGACTTGCTGTGCCAAAGTTTGCTGCATGCAGCCGCAGGCACGTACACATCTGACTAAAATGAATTAACGACATTGTTTTTGTAAGCGTTCTCATATCATGTGCTAACCGCATTACACATTCACAAGTTTGTTTGGCCAAAAAACCAAAACTCTTTTTGTTTTGCATATTATCTGTATATTCATATGTGTTTTACTTTGCACAATTGAAACACCCAACAAATCTTAAACCCACAAAAAAAAAAAAAAATGACAGAACCGCACAAGCTCAAGCGCAGACAACGCACGCGCCTAGCAAAATACCCAAGCAGCTGCGGCAGCAGCGCGCCAAGGCCACGCCCACTGCGGCACCTGCTAGCGATACGCCCAAGCCGTCACTGCTGCCCAAGCCAAAGGTCAAAGTTGTGATGCCGCCCGCGCTGCAGCAACGTCTGTGGCAGCAACAGCAGCAATCTCAGCCCGAGGAGCCAACCATACACGAGGAGGAGCAGCCTGCCACGCCCAGCGGCGGCTCGGGCAGCCGCATACCCGTGCGCACACTGAAGGCAGAACGCCGCGCCCTGGCAGCAGCTGCACGCCAGGCAGGCCTCACTGTGGACGACTACCTCCAACAGCTGGAGGAGGAGCAGCAGCTGGAGCTGGGCGCCTCGCCCGCAACGCCAGCGGGCAAGAGCCGCGCCATGATGAAGTAAGTTGAATGCGTGGCGGTCAAAGAGTTGACAAGCATGTGAGCAGAAGTCCAGAAGAAGTCGCCGCAAAGGTCACAGGTCAAATGTGCTGGCAAATCAACAGCTCGTAGGCGTAGCCATTTAGTTTAAGTATCCGTTTGCTATTTAGCTTTTGATGGCGAGCACACACACACACACACACACAAACACATACAAATAAGCAAAAATACATGCACACGCACAAGCGAAAGGCAACTATTAGTTTCAATGTGATACTCCGGCCTATATTCTTATATCTATGTATATAAATCTCTGTAAATCTAGGGACACACTTTCAACTTTATTCTTTTAGTAAGTTAGTTTTTTTTTGTATTACTATTTTGGTGTGTGTTTTAGTTACTTGACTTCTGTATTTAGTTTCGTATATCTTATCGACACATACTTTTTACTTGTAATTAGCCTTTACGAAGGAATTGTCTTCTGCAGCACCTTTTGCCTATGACTTACTAATATTGTGTTTATTTTAACACGCAGCGCTGAGAAGCGTGCCTCTTGGCGTGCCGCACGTTTGCGCTCCTTGGAACAGGGCGCGGTCGAGGCGCAGGATGTGATCAAGAACATGCGCAAGATGACCGACGATTTGATCACACACGAGTCCAGAGCCAGCGAGGTAAGTTGTTGGTTACCGCGACTACTTTAAGCCAGCCCACTTTCAAGCGAAACCCCAAAATATATAAAAAAAAAAACATCCCAAAAATTCTAAAAGCAGCCATTAACATGCGTGTTTTGCCCGAGGATTTCGGCTGAGCCACTCCTAACCAGCTAAAGACTACAACCCATAGAGCTACATGGTTTGCTTTACTAACCACAGCAATATACTAAAATTAATTAAAACAAGCATCCGAATGATTCTGTTTCATACTGAAATGTAACTAATGCTAAGATAGCTAGCGACTAGAATAGGGCATCGGAAAATGAAAATGGAAAATGCGGAAGCTCAACAAGATCAGATATCAATATTGCAAATCCCTTTATAAATCAATTTTAAAATGGAATTCATTTCTCATAGATATATATATCAAAATTTTTCTCTCTCTGTAACGCAGCCGAAAATAGTCTTTCCAAAAATTGCCATAAAATCAAGCGATGGCCCGGTCATCGTGCGCGAACGCGAGAAAATACTCGATGAGAAAATTGTGCGGCGCACTGAGGAGGTGCCCTGCCCCATAACGGGGCAACCTCAATTGCGCACCGTCGAGTACATTGAGAAAATCATCGAGACGGAGGTTAGCTAAATCAACTAAAAAAATTAATTGTATACATTTAATTGGCACCAATTTGAGTTTCGTTAGCAATGCAACAGCGTTTTATACATTTTTTGGTTGAAAGCCGCTTCTGTTCTGTACTCGTAAGCGTCAACGTTGTGAGCTGTCTCTCGTCTCGCTCTCGCTCTCGATTTTGTAGTATCTTCACGTATTTTGCACATCCTAAAATCCATTTAATGCACTGCACACAGAGCACCCCACAGAACACCCAACACTCGTATCACTGTAAATAGCATATAGTATATTTCATCAAGATTCGCCGTCTCGCCGCCGACTTAATTATTTTATAGAGCTCATGATTTTTATGTTCCAAGTGCACAAAACTTTGCTGCCTTCTAAAAAGTATCTTTACATCTTGTAAGTGCCATGCCACAAATGTTTACCAGTTGGTTTTTTGTTGTAGTTGTTGTTGTTTTAAGCTTTCAGTTGCGCAGTGGCTTTGTTGACATTGCGCCAGCGCCCCCCTGCCGCCCACCTGAAGCTGTGGGCCCGCTCCTCCTGTTCCGGCTGAAGTGCAGCGCATAAAAAGGACAATAAGCTACTTTTGTGAGGCACCTACGCGAAAAGGTCCTGTGATGCTCGCTCGGCAGCAGCAACAACAAATACCATTTTCCCGGTTATTGTTGTCTTAAGTGTCGTGGTTTTTAGAGACCCCCACCCCCCGCTCCCCCTCTGTCAGGCCGCTCCATTTGGCGCGTATCCGTTTTGGGGGCTCAACCTTCAAAGAGTTTCATTGTTTGTTTTGGGTTTGTTGTTGTCACGTGTCCATAAAGCAGAGACGACCGCAACTTTTACGCGTTTGGGGCCTGATTCTTGATTCATTTTGAGTATGCAAACGCATTATAATGACGCTCTCCATTTTATGGCAAAGTCCATTAAAATTAAAGCAAAAGTTTTGTTTTCGTTTTGCTTGGGCGTCGTTTTAATGATTCTGATCGAAATAAAACCCACAACATAACATTTTACGGCCTCTGCTATTTTTGGCCACAAATCTGTGTTTAAAAATTGCCTCTGTCGCCTGGCTGTGATTTTCAATTTGTAAGCGGAAGGAAGCGCTACGAACGAGAACCGGCTAAAATGTCAACGGCATACAAGTTTATGCCCGACTTCCACAAGCTGCCAACTCTGGTAATTTGAGAGCAAAAACTTTGCTCGTGGCAAGCGGCCCCCAGAGCTGACCCAAATGCTCTGAATGCACTGCGGGACGGCTGCATCCAGTTTCTTAGTTAGCTCAGTGCGAGGCCTGTCAGCGGGCGGCCTCAGCTTATCGTCTTACTGCAATAGAATCCTTTTACTTTGTCAGCGACCAAACGATGGCAATTTTCTCTGCAGTCGTGTCGGCCTTGTTGCCATCAGTTTTCCAGCAGATGCTGCTGCTCGAGACTCATGCCGCCTCATTTATCCTTGGGGTCCATTTACACAACTTTCATATTCACGCTTTTATTACACATTTCATAAATTTTGTTTGTCTCGTTGAAAATATATATTCAAAACCCCCCTTCAAAGCAATTAATTTTTCTCTTTCTCTGAAAAGTTATACGAGTGCTTGAAGCTTTCAACATATTTTTACATATTGCATATTGAATGTGAAATAATCTGCCTGAATAGCTTGTTTAAAAAAACATATTGTTGTTTCATTTTTTATTTGAGCATATCAAGGCAAAAGAGATATTTCATATATGACACTCCAATACACGAGCTTGATAAACGTAAAATACTTGTAGCTATTAATATAAGCGCTTCTAATAAATGTAGTTTTTTTTTTATTTAAATTCATTCTAAGACCATGACAATGGGCGAACAAATCCACCCATTTAGAGAAAATATAAGAAGGAACAACAACATGTTAAAAGAATCCTCGTGACTTTAGGACTGTTAGTTCATTAAAGCGAATTTAGAACAAAATATTCCGACTATCATATATAAATACTCATCGAATTAAAATCATCGCTGAATGAGTTCAATAACTGATTAATTTACTAAAAATTTAAAGGTTTAAGCAAAGGGTAAAATTTAAAATTAATCGTTTATTAACAATCGTTTGTATTGTGTGTTGGCATGTCTTTTAACTCACCTATTATTTCCTAATAATCTCTATATTAATCACGGTAATGTAGACCACATCATTAAAAACATGTATATATATTTATAAATGATTAGCTATGGTTTTGGTCCCGCTGCTTGGTGCTGATTTTTGTTGCCTTCATTAGTACTTAGTAGTATGCCAGCAAACAAATTGCACAACGTATCGCATTCCGATTCCAATGTATTTAGGTGGAGACGTGCAAGGAGCGCATCATTTCATTGGAGCTGCAGGTGCCTGAGGCGGAAGAAGGTACACTTGATGATACACAGCCGCCGCTGGAACTGCAGGCAGATGATGATTTCGACAACGATGATTACGATGATGAGGATGATGATGATGAAGAGGAGGAGGAGGAGGAGGAGGACACTGCCTCCATTGTTACGGTGCAAGCAAACAACGAGAAATTGTTTCTTCGCCACGATGCAGATGCCTATGGCCCATCCTCCATTGACAGCGTCTCGTCGGGCAAGGTACGCATTAAAGCAACGCCGCTGACACTACACCAGACGCTGGCCAAAGAGACGACCATTGTGGAGGTGCTAAATCCTGTCATTGGCGGCGACGGCTGCGCCCGAACTATACAAGTGAGTGGTATGCCCTTCGACATGGATGAGCTGGAGGAGGGCGCGACCTCGCTGCTGCGCAGCGAAACTTTTGTGTTGCCCACTGGCGGCAAGTCGGAGCTGTCATTAAATGCAAAAATGAAGAATGTGCTCGAGGAGCTGCTAGAGAATGAGCGCGTTAAATTGAATTTGCAAAAGAGCCTCGAGGAGCACAGTGACAATGAGAACGACGAGGAGGGCGAAACTGAGAACGTCTATGTGGATGCACGCGACGACGATGAGAGCGCCTATGGTGACGCCATAGATGATGTTGTTGACTTTGGCGCAGCAGTTGTGCCGACGGGCAAAACTAAAGGCCAGGACGATGCCAAGAACGGCAATCAGCAGTTGCTGGAAGCGTTGATCAGGGACAGTAATCGCAATACCATAATGGGTAAATTGGCCAGTCAATTGGCCGACGACGACGACGACGATGACGAGCAGGACGACGACGAGGAGGAAGACGAAAGTAGCGATTCCTCGGACGACGATAGCGATGACTCCGATGAGGAGGACAATGCCGAGCAGCAATTAAACATTGCCTACGTGCAGGGCGCGCAGGTAATCGAGAATCTCAACACTGTGGCTGCGGGCAACAAGCTGCAAAAGTCACAGACATACAACACCATGAAGCAAGCTGAACAGGAGGAACAGGAACAGGCAGCGGAGGAGGAGCAAGCAGGCGGCAATACCCTGGCCCAACTGCAGGCCGAGCAGCGTGCACTGGCCGAGATCTCAAAACAGCTGCGCAAGTCTGTCGAGGATTTGCTAAGCGCCGACGGCGACTCGGTGGTGGAAACCCAGCGCACCTACACGCTGCCAGCTGCCAGCGACAGCAAAGCCGTCGTCACCGTCACCGAGGTGGTAAAGAAGCAAAAGAAAACGGCACGGCAATCGGGCGCCGGCGAATCTGGCGAGGCTATATTCAATCGCCTGCTCAGCGCCGGCGAGTCCGAGCGCCAAATCTTCGATCGGCAGCAGGGCGAAACCATCACAACCACAACCACTGAGGCCTTGCCCGCCGCCGCGGCAGCCGCCGCAGCCGCAGGCGAGCCCAGCACCAGTGTGGTGACCACAACGCGCACAGTCTCCAACATTGTCACCAGCGGCATACCGAGGCTCGAGGCGAGCAAGCAAACCAGTCGCAGCAGCAACAACAACAACAACAACAGCAACAACAACAATCGCAGCAAAAACAAGCGCAAAGGCAAAAAGAAATAGGCAATAGATGTCGACAAATTGCGCATACGACACATGGTCTGTATGGGATTTAACTAGGCATGTACACAAATATTCTCACGAGCCCTTCACCAGCAGCCCCTCCCCCACATAGACATAGACAGTCACATATCAGCGCATTAAGGAGCATTTAACAATGTGCCGTTATACATAATGTATGTACGTTTTATATACGCCTACATATATGTGTGTGTGTGTACCAGTATATATTATACATGTGTGTATATAATTTTAATTAATTGTGCAAATAACTTGTCGCTGCATTTAAAAACACATTTGTAACTAATCATAAAAACGAGCGCAAACAAAAAAAAAAAAGCATAATTATGTAAAATGAAAACAATTTCATAATTATTAAAAATAAAAACCCTGCAAGCCTTTAACAATATTTATTTCAGTAACAACAAAATGGCAATTAAAATTACCTAAAGCCCAAGGAACTATGTACGCATAATTGCAGTAAACAAAAATCTTATTTAATTGATTTAAATAATTTCACTTTGTTTTGCATTTAATTTACTCGCATTCATTTTTTTTGTCATCAAGCCTTATTGTTTGCTTTTCAATTGAATTAAATTTTGCGTTTTTTTGTTTTAGCATTATAAATAAAGAAAAACTCGCCGTTAGCTGGTCAAAAGTTATTTCGATGGTCCCCGTATACAAAATTAATAACCCCGAGCATTCCGACTGTCCATTCTATGCTGGACAATAATATTAAGGTCTAGCTCTAATCAAATATAACAAGTTTATTAATACATAATATTCGCAGTATGTATTTATTGGTGTTGCATTATTCTAGTTACTGCAATCTTGTGGTCGGTGTACAACAACTTACGAGATAGTCAGTCTACAAATGCATTAACTAAACTGTAATTGTAAAAAAAATCAATCCGAGCAAATGATTAAATATTTACCTATATGATATGTATTTAGCGTGTAAGCAAACAAACTTTTTATAAACCGACAAAAAACAAACAAACAAACATTGTTGCAATGTAATAAACAATTCAATTTATTTTTTATTTTTAAATCAATCTTTCACTGTCACACCGACGACTTTCTATTTAAAATAAGCTCCCACGCAGAATATTTGCAGAATTATGCCAATGACGAAAAAGCTCGGCTGTCATTTTTTTTTTCTGAGATAAATATAGCAGCATGCTATTTTTATACGGCTTTTTAAGTTGCGGATTATACATTGGCTGACAACTAAAGTCCAGCACGTGCCATAAGGTTTATATTTTGCTAGTTACCTGACGAGTGGCAAAACCGCTATAGTATTTATTCTGGCTGTTACGGAATACTAAAGTTAAAAAAAAGATAATCGTCATACGAGTAAGTGCTTGCTTCTTAAGCTAAAAATGCATTACAGGAATGGGTTAGTAATAATTACCGTAGGTATGAGTATTTTTCAAACCTTGAAAACAATTAAATATCAAATACTAATGTTGCCTTTATAATTGCATTTATTGAATACATCAAAATCATAGAGATTCAGAATTAAATAAACTAAATCTTAAGCTTGCCGCATTGAGGTCATTTGTGGACAGAGCATTCAACTACATTGAGGTTAAATCACCTTAAGAGCGCAGCTTGTTTATATAGTTATTTCCAGAACCTCGAGATTCTATCATCAGCAGAATTTACAATCGACTCTTGATTTGCAAGCCCTCTTCTGCAGTTCGAAACTTCAACCACTTGAGAATTATATTCTTTAATACAGTTGAGGATTGTTGAAAGTATGTATATAGCATAAGATGATGATCACGCTTCTAATTTACAGCGATTCTCAGCCGGAGTTTTTCCTAATTGTTTCTTTTGGGACTTCACGATGTGCATTCAAAAATGTTGAATAAGAAATATAAAATAAAATGTCATATGACGTAGAATTTTTGACAAACTGAATAATTTTACCTTGTGAAGTAAAGCGAATTAAAGACAACCATTAAGCAGAATGAATTTATTCAATACGAAGAACGGCTGTGTTGTGTTTCCCCAGTCAACATCACGCTTAATGGCATTACGGAAGATGTTTCATTCTGGAGAACACGCGCAACAAAACTGCGTCGGAAGCAGCGTCTGTTGGGGTTGTCAAAAAGATAGACAGTTGGCTGGCAGGCGGGCCTTGGCTGTGGGTGTGTACGGCACCTAATGTAAAAATCGTTAGAATTTGTTGTGCGCCCAACATCATCACATAAACATCAACGCTGACAAGAAGCAAGTTTTAAGCGGAAGCTCTCGACACCGGCAGCATTGAGCGTTGCGGGGCTCACGTTGCGTATGTGCAACGTGCATAATTTGATTTCCAGTCGAGAGAGAGAAAGAGTATGAGGAACGCACGCAGAAGTATTGCAGCTGCCTGCGTCAGCATTTTCAATATTTAATGCCAACCAATTGAATTACGCAGCAAAACCAGCCAAGGGATGCATCTGACGCAAGTCTTGTTACATGCGCAGGCGGCGGTGCCAAGTGCACGGCTCTGCTTTGGTCAGACTGCCACTGCCTGCCTGCCCCCCGCTGAGCAAGACAAATGAATGCGTCATCTCGCTCTTGAGCGCCCAATGCATTTGCATTTGTGCAGCATTTCAAGTGCAGGCGTCCTGCCAGCCAAATGTTGCGGGCCTCCTAATGCTCGTGGAACCACAGCACCACCAAATGTGTGCAGCGCATTAATCAGAGTCTCGTTTTTCGGGCGCTGCCCGACGCTGTTGTTATTGTAATGCATGTTGTGGCTAAAATAAAAGCAGTTTGTCATATTTAATACACTCCGATGGTCTGACAATGTAGCCAACGTCATTTCGCGTCAGCGGGGTGCTCATTACATGGTCTGTCTGCGCCGAAACTCCATCCAATTGTCGTCCCCTGTCACATTTAATAGGATTATGCTTGGTTAAACACAAAGTGTCCTCACACACGCACACACACACAAACACACACAATACGTGTACACTGACATATTCTTTTTGTGCGGGGCGTTTGTTTTGGTGAGGGAGTCTCGCACAAATTTCCAGCATTTGCTGTTTGAAATTTTTCACATTTCACACATAAATTCTGTAAAGATGCTTTTTGGTGTAACTCCTGCTGCTGCTGCTACTGTTGCTAGAAGCAGCTAGTGAAAAATGTCCAGTGTGCACACACGCACACACAGACACACACGCACACTTGAACAGACGCGTAAGCGCAGGTGTCCTGTGCTGCTCTAGTCCTTGGGCGAGCTCGTCGTGCTGTTTGCCTCCGCCAGTTACTGAGTTATCTGGCAAATAATGGAACGTGCTGTGCAGCTGATGCGTTTTCATAAATTTTAAATAAGCGCAGCAGCTGCCACAATACTCGAAAGGCAGAGTCTCTACACCCGAACCTAAGGCCTTGACAAGCCCCAGACAGACATCTGTGCGCCTGTATAGTTTTCCATATTAGCGAATAGTTTTACTTGGCAAAATCAACTTAGGTGGTCAACGGTGAGTTGATTGCCTCATTAATCAAATGTTTTATCAGCCAACTCACGGAAAACTGCATTAACAGCAAGTTGGCACAGCCAGACACTCTGCGGTAGCTAAAGATACCACTTTCTACTCGCGAATCACGTGATTTGCAAAAATGCTGAGGAATTAAGTAAATAATTTATTTTTTTAAGGTCAAATATTAATTGCTGCATATGTTTTTTACAATATAGTACTTGTTTATGTACATATATATTTGTATAAAACTGTGTAATGAATGACTGACTGTAGTTACGTATTATTATGTAGTTCTGGAAAATATCTGAAGACGGTTGCTTAAAGCTTTTCTGCCTACCATCCGATCGGCCCCAAGCTAATTTTCAAAGATCTTTAGGAAAACCTTGAAATACGTCTTTTTAGTGGTAGAAAAGGTAGTCAAAGTTTACGCTTTAAGAACGTGACCTCATGAGTCTGCATAGCTGAGGTAACTGAGCGTCGGACTAACAAGCAAGAGGTCGCTGGCTCAAATATAGTAGTAATTGCAATTTTTGCTTTGGATATTTAAGAAGAAAGCTCAATAAAATTAAAACAGTGAAAGGGAAAATTCATGGCGATTGACAACAATACTTACCACGCTTCTCCTTCGATCTGTCCTTTTGCTAGGCTGCGTAATCTTTGGAATTAGTAGACACAAATACTTGTAATTTTAAACATATTTCTCCTATGTCCCGCTCGAATCAATCGTGTTTGAAATTATGATAACCATCCTAGTTTTTACAAAATTGATAAAAATCGTTGTTCAGATTTAGTTCTGCAGAACACCAGCAAAACTATCATGTAGGCCCTCATATAATATACACTATCCAGAATACTTCTCTCCCTCTTTTTGCTGCCCGACTTTATTTGCAATCAAAATATTATATGGCTGCCATAGGAACTATCCGTCGATAATTTAGCTCTTCCATAAGTTGTTGTCAGTATATCTTGAAATTACACCATACTCTTAATATAAACATTCTTATTTATCAAGATATCTTGTCCGAGTCCAGCATTTATAAGTTTCATTGTGTTTATATTAAAATATAAGCGAAATTTAATCAGTATTGGACTACTTTTGTTATTGTAGATAACTTGACCAAACCCGTCAGTTATTAGTTTAACTATGCTCATAATATATGAGCCATATCTTACCAAAATTTTGCTACTGAATCATTCAGCTCTATAAAAAGAATCAGGCTATAATCATAGTTCTTCAATACCGATAACAGGCAGGTTGTTAAGATTTGCTATGCATACATTTTAAAGCTTATTGCAGATATGAAATAAATTAGCTGCTATATACGCTTTCTGTTCCTCCAATTCGATACTACGCTTACATAATATATGGATGGAGTACTCTATAAAAATGCGTTGCAAGAGTACAAGGACAATGAACAAGCAGTTTGACAGCTCTGGCAGCACATAAAAATGCAATGCTCGTCCTGCAATTTAGATTGCGCCTCGTGGCTCAGCTAAAAGCCGCCGTGCGATGTTCCCTGATGTTGTTGTTGTTGTTGTTGTTATTGTTGCTGCAGCTAAAGATTCTTTCATTTTGTTTTAGCCTGTTGCTGTTCGCTGCTGCAGGCAGCAACTGCTGTGCGCGTGCGCTGGAATGCCACGGAAACTGTTGCAGTTGGCAGGACAAAAACATTGCCCCTAAAAGGGCCAACTTTATCCGTGTGTGGCTTATCCAAAAGGCAGCTGCCTTTATTAGCTGGCTGTGCGTGTGGGGTACATCCCCAGGGTACTGTTCGCCGTCGTCGTCGACGGCAACAGACTCGTCGCCATCGGACTCCACCCCATCCCCATCGATGAAATACGAAAACGTATCCTAACCTGGAAGCCTTGCATGGGCTTCGGTTTTTATTTTTTGTTTCAAAGCCTGGAATGCGTTGCTTTTGCTGGTGTTGGAGGCTCTTTTTTTGCTTTAGCACTAGACTCTGGCTTGCTTAACCTTGTTGCCCAGCTCGGCTGTCTTGACTTGGCGTCGCTCTGGCGGCTGCTGCTGCTGCTGTTGCTGCTGCTGGTGTGTAATTGCAATTTTCAAGGATAGGGATATGCTCGAAACAGATTTATATGGAGGGCCCAGTACGTGCTGAATTTATTAATGCTGTCCCAGCTACTATCTACGTTCGGAGGCTCGGTACAATTGCTGGCCACCAGCGGAGTAGGCGTGCTCTTAACAATGACACCCGCCTCGGGTTATATAAGGTGTGGTGTCTGTCATATCGAAGTCCGCATATCCACGATGAGACGGGAGTTTGCCCGGCATTTGAATTACGAGAGTTGAAATGAAAACAGACAGATTGACGCTACTATTGTTGTTCTAGTTGTTGTTGCTGTTTTAGTTTTGTGGCACAACGAGGTCCTGCCGTATCGATGAACGAATAGGAAGCTCGTAGCAGGTGTTGCCTCAGTTAGTGTCTGCGAATCTGAACAACGCTCACGTATTCGCATTAACGAACTTCGGTGCTTTAAGTGCAGTCGAAGAGCAAAGACCAATATAACCAGAAAGATCTCAGCCAAAATCCTGGAACGTGGTGCAACCATT